GAAAAAGAAAGCGAACCTGAAGTAACTCTTATTCCCGAAACAAAAACAGAGGAGAAAGAATCAGAGGTAGAAGCTGATATAACAATAAAACCTAAGCCTGATGATGAGACAGCAGTTACAATTAAAAAGCCGAAACCGAAACCTAAACCAAAAGAAGATGAGGGAGACGCAGAAATTACTATAAAGAAAATCATACCAGAGGAACAAAAATTGGACGAAGTTGAAGAAGTACAAATAAAAGTAAAGAAACCCAAAACTAAGAAAAAGTCTCCATCGGTTGAAGAGGAAGTAGTAGAAGCTACCGTTGAAGTAAAACCAAAAGTCCAGGAAGAAGTTGAATCTACCATTAAGCAAATAAAAGAAACACCAAAACCAGAAGATGAAGGAGAAGCTGAGGTAACAATTCAGAAACATATTCCAGTAAAAGAACCTAGTGAAGAAAAAGAGCTTCCAAAAGAACCTGAACTAGAAGAGGAAATCGTAGTAAAACCACAGACTGAAGACAAAGAAGAAGTAACATTGAAGAAACGAAAACCAAAACCTAAAGTAGAAGATGAGGGTGAAGCGGAAATAACAATTAAAAAAATTATTCCCCAACCCGAAAAGGAGGAAGATGAGGAGACAACAGTTGAGGCAGAAATAACTATCAAACCAACGCCTGAAGATGAAACAAGTATTAAAATTAAAAAATCAGAACCGAAACCTAAATTAGAAGATGAAGGTGAAGCTGAAGTAACGATTAAGAAATTAGTACCTGAAGATAAAAAAGAACCAGAGGAAGAAGTTGTTATAAAACCACCTACAGAAGAGGAAGCAGAAGTAGTTATTAAAAAGCCCAAACCGAAACCAAAAGTAGAAGATGAAGGTGAGGCAGAGATAACAATAAAAAAATTAGTTCCTAAACCTGAAAAAGAGGATGAAGAGGAGACAACAGTTGAGGCAGAAATAACTATCAAACCAACGCCTGAAGATGAAACAAGTATTAAAATTAAAAAATCAAAACCGAAACCTAAAGTAGAAGATGAAGGTGAAGCTGAAGTAACGATTAAGAAATTAGTGCCTGAAGATAAAAAAGAACCAGAGGAAGAGGTTGTTATAAAACCACCTACAGAAGAGGAAGCAGAAGTAGTTATTAAAAAGCCCAAACCGAAACCAAAAGTAGAAGATGAAGGTGAGGCAGAGATAACAATTAAAAAAATAGCTCCTAAACCTGAAAAAGAGGATGAAGAGGAGACAACAGTTGAGGCAGAAATAACTATCAAACCAACGCCTGAAGATGAAACAAGTATTAAAATTAAAAAATCAAAAACGAAACCTAAAGTAGAAGATGAAGGCGAAGCTGGAGTAACAATTAAGAAATTTGTACCTGAAGATACAAAAGAACCAGAGGAAGAGGTTGTTATAAAACCACCTACAGAAGAGGAAGCAGAAGTAGTTATTAAAAAGCCCAAACCAAAACCAAAAGTAGAAGATGAAGGTGAGGCAGAGATAACAATTAAAAAAATAATTCCTACCCCCAAAAAAGAGGATGAGGAGGACACAACAGTTGAGGCAGAAATAACAATCAAACCAACGCCTGAAGATGAAACAAGTATTACAGTTAAAAAATCAAAACTCAAGCCTAAAGTAGAAGATGAGGGTGACGCTGAAATAACAATTAAAAAAATAATTCCTATACCCGAAAAAGAGGATGAGGATGAGACAACAGTTGAGGCAGAAATAACAATCAAACCAACCCCTGAAGACGAAACCGGTATTAAAATTACAAAATCAAAATCTAAACCTAAAACAAAAGATGAAGGTGAAGATGAAGTAACGGTGAAGAAATTTGTTCCTGAAGACAAAAAGGACGAGGAAGAAGAAACTGTTATTAAACTTCCTACTGAAGATACAGCAGAGATCACCTTTAAAAAGCCAAAACCAAAACCGAAAGAAGAAGATGAAGGTGAAGCTGAAATAACTATAAAGAAGTTTGTTCCAGAAGAGGAAACAACGCAAGAAGAAGTTAAAATTCAGATTAAGAAGGCCAAGAAGAAACCCAAGTTAGATGAAGACGAACAAGTCGAAGTTACAATAGAAGTGAAACCCAAAGTTGAAGACGAAACTGAACTTGCTTTTAAGAAACCAAAAGACACACCAAAAGTAGAGGATGAAGGAGAAGCCGAAATAACAGTTCAAAAATATATTCCTGTAGAGGAAGACAAAGATGAACAAGAGGAAAAAGTTGAAATAAAGAAACCGAAATCTAAGAAAAAACCCAAAGTAGAAGAGGAAGCTGAAGCTATATTACAAAAACCAAAACCTGATGATGAAGAAGTAGAGATAAAACTAAAACCATCAGCTAAACCTCCTGCAGAAGAAGAAGATAATGAACTAACCGTCAAGAAATATGAAGTTACTGAGAAACCTGAAGACACAGACGAGGTTAGTGAAGTAATATTTAAAAAGAAACCTCCACAGAAAATACCCGAACCTGAAGAAACTGAAGCTGAAATTACAATAAAACCAAAAGAAGACATTGAAGCTGACACAACTGAAATTAGAATTAAAAAGCCTCCATCTAAAGCACCCTCCGTAGAAGAGGAATCAGAAGAACTTACTGTTCAACGATTAAAACCGGTAAGAAAACCATCAGAACCAGAAATTCCAGAAGTTGAGGCAATTCAGACTGTTACATTTAGACCAAGAACAACAAAAACTAAGGAAGACGTAGAACAAGAATTCAAAATATCTTTAGATTCATACGCTGAAGAAGAAATTAATCTATCAACTAAAGTAAAATTGAAAAACAAAAAACCACTGACATATTCCGAAGAGACTGCCGAGGACACAGTTAAAATAAGACAAGAAGTAGATGATGAAGGTCCAACTATTGAAGAAATAATTGATGAAGAAGACGAAGCTCCAGTTGAAGACGATGACGTATCTGAGAGTTTCCATATTGCCTTCAAGCGTAGACCGTCTCGCAAATATTCAGTAGTAGAAGAAAATGAAGAGGAAATAAGTTTCAAGAAACCTGTCAAACAAGTTGATTTCGAAGAAGAAGGCAGTTTTACTATAAAACCTAAGAGACGTGAATCTGTTACATTTGATCAGGGTAATTATTTATTAATATCCTTACCAAATTCATAATTTTACAAATTTTATTTATTTTTAGAAGCAGTTTCTTTAAGCATCACCAAAGAAAAGGAAGTTATTGAAGAAGTGATTCACGAAGAGGAGGTAGAGGTTGGAGATGTTTATTACTCAATAACCATTTATGATGCTGAAGCTGAATCAGCAATCGATATGGTAGAAGGTGAAAAAGTGTATGTAATTGATACACCAGATTCTGATTGGTGGTTGGTTAAGAAACATTTAACAGAAGAAACTGGTTGGGTTCCTGCCAAAATTTTAATGAATGAGGAACAGTATAACCAATACGTGCAAAGAAAATTGAATGAGAAGATCGATAAGTTACCGGTATTTGAAAGTAAGTAGCGATTTTCACTTAATTTAAAACATAACATCTTTTTTATACTTTTCTAAACCTAATTATTATTTTCTACTACAGAACCGAAGTCCAAAGAAAAAGCTTCAGCTCCAAAGTTCATCAAAAAATTAAAACCAATAATTACCCCAGATGGCTACACAGTGCAGTTTGAATGTAAAGTAGAAGGATTCCCCAGACCACAAGTGACATGGTTTAGACAAACTCATATTATTAAAATTTCTAAAGACTTCCAAATGTATTACGACGATGATAACGTAGCCACTCTCATCATAAGGGAAGTTTTCCCAGAGGATGCTGGAACATTCACATGTGTTGCGAAAAACTCAGCAGGATTTGCTTCTAGTACCACAGAGTTGATTGTAGAAGGTCCATTATCAGACCATGGATCGGACTTGACATCGATATCAAGAAAAAGTTTATCTCGTACTTCATCTCTGTGTGACATCTTGGAAGGAATTCCTCCTACATTTGCTAATAAACCTAAACCGCAATGTGTTCCAGAAGAAACGGATGTTGAAGTTGAATGCACATTAGTGGGTGTTCCTAAACCTGAAATCAAATGGTACCGTAATGGTAAGCGCATCTCTCCTAAAGGAAACATCACAATTGAATCTACTTCAGAGAACTATACTTACAAAATAACTTTGAAAATTAAGAAAGTCGAAAAGAAACAAGAGGGTCGCTTCAAGGTAGTAGCCAAAAACAGAGAGGGAGAAGCCTCAGTAGAATTTACATTAAAAGTATTAACTAAAGATAAAGAAGCACCAGAAGTGCTTGAACCTTTGGAATCTCTTACTGTAAGAAAAGGAGAAAAGATTACTCTTTCTACAACTATAGTGGGTAATCCTGAACCAACTATTGAATGGTTCAAAGATGGCAAACCATTGACCAAATCTAAATTCAAAAAGGAAGGAAATAGGTACACATTAACTATAGAAAAGACTACTATTAGCGACACAGCTAAATACACTGTGAGAGCCACTAATTCACAAGGCACAATTGAAACTAGTGCACACTTGACAGTCGAAGGTAAGTTTATATTTTATTAGATTAATCATAGTCAAAAATGTTTGTTAATAAATATTTTTCTAGTCTCTTCATGCTTCAATATTCAATATCAAATGAAGATATATAGCAACGCTGTAGAAATTAAAGGCTTCTGCTTTATAGAATTATTGCTGCTTTAGAGAATGCTGGAAGAAGATTCTGAAGATTGTTTATATGCTTTACCATGATAAAAGTCTACTTCTGGCTGCTATGCTTTTATATAGTAGGAATATTCCTCAAAAATGCTTTATTTTTTTTTTTCGTTTTATTTTTATGAATAAATATTTCTTCTTTCGTTTATTTTCATTTTTGCACCGACTTATCATGTATATTTTTCGATAGACTCTACAATCCGCTAGCTTTGCATTATTATACATTGATATATTACTGCTTAAAAAATCACTACTGCTTTAATTTGTATATTTCATATAATAGTATCTATATTAAACCTGTTTTTCAGAATTCCCCGAAAATGAAGAACCTCCTCTATTCGTTAAACGTTTTGAAGAACAAACTGTTCCACAAAAAGCTCCACTAAGTCTCAAAGCAAAGGTTACTGGTAACCCAACACCAGAAATATTCTGGTTACGTAATAACGAACCAATAGAGCCCTCTGATAGAGTTACTATATTATACGATGGGGAAAATGTAGAACTGAAAATTAAGGAGACAAATTCTGAATTAGACTCAGGAGACTACAAATGTATAGCGGTTAACAACGTTGGTAAAGCTTCTCATGGAGCGAAAGTTTCAATAGAGGTAGATACCGTTAAATTCACCAAAACCCTCAAAGAAGTCTATGAAACTTCAGAAAGAGAAACGCTCGAGCTCGAATGTGAGACATCACATTCAGTAAGGACAAAATGGTGGTACAACAACACCGAAATTAGTGGAATGGACCATCGTGTTGTGGTTCAAGATGGAAGAACTCATAAATTGATCATCAAAAATATCAGTCAAAACGACGAGGGTAGCTACAAATGTACAGTTAAAAATCAAAAGACAGAAACAACAGTTAAAGTTAAGCAGCGAAAACTTGAATTCGTTAAAAAGTTGCAGGATTTGGAAATCACTGAAAAAGAGACTGCTGTTCTTGAAGTAGAAATCACTTCGGACACTGCGAAGGTAGCGTGGTTTAAAGATGGTATTAACTTGGATGACACTGATGAAAAATTCGAAACGGAGAGATTCGGTGGCGTAAGAAGACTACTCATCCGCACGACATCTATCCATGATGAAGGTGAATATAGCTGCAAACTTGTAGACCAAGAATGTAGAGCCGACGTTACGGTTATCGAACTACCTCCTGAAATAATTACCCCTCTTCAAGATAAAGTTGTAAATAAAGGTGACAAGACTGTGTTTGAAATAGAACTTTCTAAAGGCGATGCTTTGGCAAGATGGTACAAAGATGGTAAAGAAATTCAATTTTCAGAACATATTCAACTGTCTATTGACGGTAAGAGACAAAAACTTAAAATCTACAAAACAGAGCCCGAAGATGAAGGTACTTATTCATGCGAAGTCGGAACTCAATCATCCAAAGCCAAACTTACCGTTCAAGTACCAACTTGTACCTTCATCAAAGAACTGCCCGAGTTTACTGTTGTCCCTATTAACACTGACGCTGAATTTGAGGTAGAACTTTCCAAAGATGATGTAGAAGTTTCATGGTATAGAAACAATGAACGTATTGAGAAATCCTCAAGGTATTCTATAACATCTGAATACAGAACTAGAAAATTAATTGTACAGAAGACAACGTTTGAAGATGAATATGAATACACCTGTAAAGTTGAGAAATATCAACTTAAAACTTCTTCAAAACTAAAAATTGGTGGTAAGTGCATATATATCTTGTAAGAAATGCTTCTTTCTAGGTTATATTTTACCAAATTCACATCTGTTCAACTGTTCTGTTTCAGATAAACCTTCTCCTCCGCGCGGACCTTTAGAAATATCTGGAATGTCAGATACCTCTTTCACAATTCAATGGCAGCCTTCAGAAAATGACGGAGGATCTTCTATCATAGAATATATCGTAGAAATGCGTGAAGCTAAAACTAAGAAAGCGTTCAAGAAACTTGGAGGAACAAAGGGAGAAACGAATTATGCAATTAACTACTTAGAAAAAGGACATGGTTACAATTTTAGAATTACTGCTAGAAATGCGATTGGAATAAGTGATCCATTCTTACCATCAGATACAATTGTAGCTGGTTCCAGAATAAGTGAGTCATTAGTTGTTTTATTAATTTGCTTAGTCTGTCAGAATGTATGGTTTTACAAACCAAAAAATTATAAAATAAAATCTGCACCCTTATCAAATATTGTTGTAACTCAAGAGTGCATATGAAGGTCCAAATCAAGTTATTTTTCTGCTAATGAATGTTAAAAAAGACGTTAACTTCTGTTCACCATTTTCAATTATTACCATTCGTATTATGCGAGTGAATACGGCATATTTTTCGAGTTGTAACATTATACGCTTTGTTCCTTTGTTGAAGGAATAGGAGGGCGTTAGATCAATTTGGTAATAATGCCTTAGAGTAATAATAATAATAATACTCTCCCTAATTCACCCCCTTACGAGTGAATTTTAACCCCAAAAGCTGAGATTGTGCGGGGAAAGAGACGGCTATTATTATTATTTGCCGTGGCGCTCCGGGGCGACTTAAAGGTGATTGATGGTGCCATTTGACTTACAGGTGAGGAAAACCCGGAAAACCTCACCCACCATCATAAAACCTCACCCACCATCATAAAGAGTTCTCGTATTCATCAAGTGCTTCGGTTAAGAGATGTTGAAGAAGCCTCTGGAGACTAGAAGGAAAACAATCCAAATTATAGTTCAAGGTGAATGCCGTTGGTGCTATTCTATTCGAATCAATAATAGCATATATGTAAACTTAGGACCTTTTGACAATATTACTGGGCATGACATCTGTGTCCTCTTCGTTGAGTTTTCATGTTAGATGGTTCTACGTCACGTCTTCAGCTCCTCATCGTCTTCAAGTTTCCAGAGGCTTCTTCAACGTCTCTTAACGAACTCGATCTCGATGGCAATGTTAGTTACCAAAGTGATCTGTTGCCTTCCTATTTCTTAAAATTACGTTGGCTATTGCCTTATTTTAGAATAGATTAGATCTATTGTGGAACTCTATTATTTAGAGTACGTTGGCTAGTTTTGTCTTTGTTACTAGACTTAATAGCCATAACAAATTTTAATTTTTCCATTAGCCAACCCGTTATTTTGAAATTCACGAAAATTTAGTTACACCTCTGTTTGATGGGGTGTCGAAATCATATTTTAGTTTTTAAAATGTTTTTCTTCTAATGCTTTGCTTTTAGTTCATTAATGCCTCGCTTTTGCTTTAGGAATCCATTATCAGTTCAAAAAAACTGATGAAACGCTTTATTGCTTATTGGGAATATTCCCACCTGCAAACATTGACTATAAAAGTAAGTGTGACTAATTTAGCTATCAAAACAGTCTTAGGCTGCTGGCGTTTTCGTAAAAAATCCTATTTAAAAATGGTACCATTGCCAAAGTGATAACGAAATAAATTTTCTAGCTCCTCCTTCTCCACCAATAAATCTGAAAGTCAAAGATTTGACCAGCAGAAGTGCAACCCTAACATGGGAACCACCAGAACACGATGGAGGTACCGAAATTACAGGATATGTTTTAGAGAAGAAATTAGAATTCATGCCAAAATGGGAAAAAGTTTTTACAACAGAAGCTTTCTCTTTGCAATATACATTTGAAAATCTAAAGGAAAAGAGCGATTACATATTTAGAGTGTTCGCAGAAAATTGTGTTGGACTTAGTCCTCCAGCAACATCAGAAGTAGTACAAATGAGAACGCATGCCAGTAAGTTTATATTATTTTATAAAAAAATAACTTTTCTTCTTACTTTATTAAAATTAAACAGCTCTTTTTAATCAATAGTAAATTAAAACATTTTGTAAAATTTCAGCTGTACCTTCACCACCAACTCCTCCTCTTGAAATAAGAACTATTGGACCTAATGCCATCGTAGTAGAATGGGGAATACCAGAATCTGATGGCGGTTCCCCGCTTCTTGGATATAACATCGCTATTAGAGATACCAAGAAGACCATGTGGATGGAAGTTGGTAGAGTTCAAAAAGGAGTACAAAAATTCACTATAAAAGATCTACAAGAGGATCATGACTACATGATCAGGATATTTGCCAAAAATGAAATAGGATTGAGTGAACCTCTAGAATCCGATGAGCCATTCAAGGTTCTTCCATCCGGAGGTAAGTCTAGTTTTCTAGTTAAACTACCACATATCTTTTTTTTTGCTAATTAGGTCTCCTTTCTTTAAAATTTCACTAAGAACTAAATTTCTTATAAACTTGATTTTGTTGCAGCTTTATTGCACGCAGATCCGCAGTATGAGAGCCTGCTTGTTGTTTCACCATGATCGGTTAATATTATAATTCAATGTTGTCTACAAAATGTATCGGTAAGGTGTAGAGGATGGGTTACCCCACACCACTTAGACGTAACTAGGCCCGTTATGCATCCTCCTAAGATGATAGGCGCACAAATCTTTTAATAAATGAGATCGTCGGGCAATCGTAGAGGATATGCTCGATGGTCTCATCTTCTAGTTCGCACCCCCTGTATATTGCAGATTCCGTCAGGCCCATGATATGGAGATGCTTCCATACTTGGCAATGACCAGTCAGAATGCCTGTGATCAGGCGCAGAATGTCTAGTCATAGTGAAGTAAGTGTTTGCTGTAGTGTTGTCAGGAAAACCTAGCTCCCTGGCAACTCTGCAGTTTCTTGTTTCATCCCATCTTTCCTTGAATTTCACAAGGACATGTTATTTAATCAGGGCTGTTACTTCCGATGTTGTCAGTCCATTAGAAGGACCAGGTCCAAAAAGTATTTAGTTGGCTGCCTTCTTGGTCAGTAAATTAGCAAAACGGTTACCTTTCGATGTGGCGTGACCTTTGATCCATCTTAAAGTGACCACATTGTTAATGGATACTTCGGTCAAAGCTTTGTGACATTCTAGTACTAACCCTGGGTACAGTCGAGGTCCGTTCAGGGTGAGCAGTGCTTGTCTGCTATCTGCTACACTGGCACTATTGCTCACAGTCCGTTTTATGTTTAGATTTAAAAATCTAGAGCAGTGATTCTCAAACATTTTTGGTGACGGAACCTTTTTGAAAACTGAAATATTTGACGGAACCCTAAACACAATTCGGAAAAAAAAGTGCTCTTTGCTCTAGCCTCTTGCCAGGTCTCTCCTGTTTCTTTGCGGGCTCCAACAAAATTCTCAAAATCATATACGCCTTCCTCTTCTTGACTTCTAAAAAAAAAGTACTCCAATCCAAAATACCATACTCATACACTCCTCCCTTTTCTTGGCTTCTAAAAAAAAAAGGTCCTCCAACCCAAACTCTCAACAAGGGCCTCAAGCCAAGTCCCGTTGTAGAGATAGGTACTGCTTTTTTATTTTCTTCGCAGAGCCCTTACAAAGGCTTTGCGGAGCTCCAGGGCTCCGCGGACCACACTTTAAGTAACGCTGATCTAGAGTCTATTTCACATCCTGAACCTTATTTTGTTTTAGAACCGTCGGGGTAGATATGAATCGTATCTGCCTCTTCTGGTTTTTTTATTTGTTCTGTTATGACCATATATGGCTTATGGAAAGATATATCTTGGTGAGATGGAGTCCATGTTCGCTTGAAGCAGTGGGAGCATAACGAGCGCGTCCTCCCAAAAGCGACGTCTCGCTTCACCAGATTCTACATTTCTATTCCAACCGTGCGGAGGCGTGTCATTGTCATCAGTGAGACTAACAATAACTTTCATGGTTCTGATTGATTTGGGTTTCATGGCTCTTGTTATGTTGAGACATGCTGTTCTTTGATTTTGTTATAATTTACAGATAGCTGTGAATTTTTGGGTTTTCGGTATCCAGACAACTACAGCGTATGTTAGCATAGGTCTTATGATGGCCGTGTAAGTCCATGTGACGACTCTGGGGGAGAAACCCCAGGTACGGCCCATGATTCGACGGCATTGTTCATTAGCAATATATGCTCTTTTGACTTTGTTTTCTAAGTTTTCATCCTTTTTTTCTGTCTTCTTGGAATTAATAGTCAGTGAATGGCCCTTGTTCCACTGTTCTGTAATTTTAAGAGCTACTTGCACTCTTTCGCAGAGGATACTCTCAAAGTTCCCTGTTTGCAGAATGATCAGGTTATCTGCATAAGCTTGTGTAGCAAATGTTATTATTGGGGCAGCTATGTTCCACAGTAGAGGTGATAGCACCCTTCCCTGTAGACATCCCTTCGCAACCAGGCCTTTTATATTCACAGGTGGTTAGACTTTCTCTATCTGTAGATTTTTCTGTTGTTTCAATCTTTACAACAACCGTCAAAAGTTTCGATAAGATAATATCACCCACCCTTTTACTGTATATTTTAAAGAATTATTTTTGATTTCTATCCAGATTATTTTCGTATGTCGAAACCTTTCAGGTACTTACTTAAAATTCTTTTAAAATTTTGTAATATTATTTTCCAATTCTGCTCAGTTACCACGTTCATTTTTTGGATTTTTATTGAGATATAAAAACACTAAAAGTTAACAGCCAGACATGTTATGTTATGTTGAGAATGGGGTGTTAATACACTGCGACCTAAAAGATCTATTGTGCTCCCTTCTATCGCCAATGCACTAAGGAAATGTCTGAATGCCTATAACGACCCTTCCATTCCTATTTTCTCAAGGAAGTGTAGGATTTGAAGTGGCTTCAAGTTAGGTAAATCTCCCTCTTCTATTTGATATCCTCTTAGATATAGTGCCCTTGGATTCTGGAGTGCTACACATTCAGTTAGGATGTGAATGGAGGTTTCGTCCTCCTACTCACAGAATTTGCACTCACTATCCTCTACTACTCTCAGTTTAGTAAGGTGTCCTTTTAGTCGGCAATGCCGGGTAAGGATCCCTGTTACAATACGTAGCCTGTTCTTGCTCGGGCAGATGCAGGCTTCCTTTTCTGGTTATATTCACTCAGAAGTATCTTGGCCTGTCTCAGCCCCAAGAGATTGTTCCAATTATCGGTTCTTCTACTACCCAATTCTTTTTTAATGTCTCCTAATATTAAGTTACTGCTGATACCGCATAACGGCTCAGGTCCTACAAAAGGTGTTTAAGTCCCTTTCCTTGAAAGACTATCTGCAATCTCGTTAACCTGTACCCCGTTATGTCCCGGGACCCAAGTGAGAGTAACTCTATTTTTCTCGCCTAGCTCATTTGATTGTTCTAGGCATCTCCAGACCATTTTTGAGCTGATTACGTAAGAGCTCAGCGCTTTGATAGCTGCTTGACTATCGGACATGATGATAATCTCTTGTCTATGATAGTTTCTCTCGATGTTAAACTGGATACACTTCTCGATGGCGTGAATTTCCGCCTGGAAGATGCTTGGGTATTTTCCCAAGCTTTCGGAGTGCTTGGTTCTCGGCCCATACCCTCCTATTCCAGTTCCTTCTATGGTTTTGGAACCGTCTGTATACCAATGAATAGCACGTCTTTCGGTTGCAAGCGCAATGGATTCTTGGCTCCATTCTTTCTTGCAGCCCAGCTCTGTGGTTTTGAAGTTTTTCACAAAACTGTACTTCTTTAGCATTTCATCCTGGGGCATGTCCCAGGTATCTTTAGTCCTGAAGCAAGTAGACTTTCGTCTGATTACTCCGTTCCTGATCATTCTATATCGTGTCCTTTTTGCCACATTCTCTATCATCAAATGTAGAGCAGTGAGGTTTAAGATCACCTCCATTGCGGCCGTAGGACATGTTCTCATTGCACCAGTAATACAAACAGGCTAGTCTTTGTACTTTTGAGATATTAGCTCTGGTAGTAGGTAAACTAGTTCTGTTACTCCAGGTTATAGCCCCGTAAGTGATGATTGGTCTCACTATTGCAGTATACATCCATCGCAGTAAGTTTGGATTACATCCCCATCGTTTACCTGTAATGTTTCTGCATACCATTAGGGCTTTTGTGGCCTTATTTACTACTTCCTTCTCATGTGTGTTCCAGAGAAGTTTGTTGTCCAGGGTTAGGCCTAAATATTTGACTTCATTTTTCCATTCTATATCTATCCCGTCTAATTTAACGGTTTTGAGATTAAGTTTTCTTTTCCTTGAAAAGGCCACTAGTGTTGTTTTTGTATGGTTTATACTAAGTCCCACTTCGCGGCACCATCTTTTGGTATGTTCTAGTCCTCGTTGGACTATATCACACAGGATATTACTAAACTTGCCACTAGCAAATATGACTATGTCGTCGGCATAACCTTGACAGGGTATGCCGAGGTCAGTCAATCTGCATAGAAGTTCGTCTACGATTAGGCTCCACATTAGTGGAGATAGACATGTTATAGTATAAGGCTTAAAATTTTGTTTAATCTCTCTGTGCACTATAATAGGTGGGAATAAGTTTGTGTGTTATAAACTTTGAGAAAGGGGATGGGGAGGGGGTTCGGCCGATAACAGATATTCAAGGTACATAAAAACGTCCTAGTAATAAATCTGATTTTTATAATATGTTCAAGTGGATAACAGCAGACACGTTCAAGGTTTCAAGGGTCTAAAAATCCCTCCCAGGCACAATAACAATGAATGAACAAGCGTGAGTGCGATCGCAAGAACATTATTTGAATTATGATCACTCGCTCGTACTTACACCTGACTTATATCTGGGGGGATATTAGATCCTTCGTATATGTCTAATAATTGTTCGATTAATATTGCTACCGTCCGAATAGCATAAATGATCATATTCAGATTTTATAGTATGACGTAAATGTCCATGATTTTGTGATTCTGAGAGCATCTGGCAGGAATTACACCCCGCAAAAAAATATCTGACAATTGTTGATTGGAGTTTTTAATATTATCCAGTCGAACATATTTAAAAATCATATTTAATACTAGAATGTTTTATCCCAAAATTTATATGCGACTTGAAAACCTGTTACCTGCCGATACCCCCGTACTTAAAGTTCATAAAATACAAACGATCGTAGGTTATCTTTGAGTGATATCAACCTCAAATTACCTGTCAAAGTTTATCAGGCCCGTACATTTTAATCAGCATTTTTACCTCTCACAAGTTGGATCTCGTTTTGGATAAGTAATCGTCTCTAACTACTTGATTGACTTCTAGGACAATTTCGACCAGATTGCCTCTTTTTCTTGTAAGGGGTAACCGATATTTTTCTCTCACGCATACACAACTTTTGAGCTCTGTCAAATGAAATAAATAATTTGTGAATAGCTGACGTTTGCAAAATGAAAGAAGCCTACTTGGATATTTTCTTTTTAGATAACCATTTATCTGATTTTTATAGTTAATCGCACAAGACCATCATAAAATGAATACTAGTATTTGTTGAAATTTGGTCATGATACATTTAACTGAAATGAATATTTTGTTTGTTTTTGTCAGATACTGATCAAGATGACTTTAAAGAAGCAACAGACAAGGAGCCAACATCATACAGCACGGAGACTTCAACCTCTTGGTTGAGAGACAACAGTATGGACGCTGACATCCATTCATACTCCAAGGGAACTCTATTGAAGAAAGACGAATACTTCTTCCGCATATGGTGTTACGCAACAAAATTATTTAAGTAGAAAAAGAAGATTGAAATCTTCTAAAGATGTACATATTTACTGATTTTAGACAACTATTTTTAGAATTTTGATACTGATAATGACTTATTCACTTATTGTAATGTGCTCGTATTAGATTTGTGTTGTGATTTTTTGCGAATTGCGAGCCGAAAAAAGATTCGAATAAAAAATGTCAACACAATTTTAATACGAGCTGAATTAGTAAGGATACTGTGATACTGATTATGAATTTAAAAATGAAAGAGGATATAATAGAGCCTAAAAAACGACACTAATATTTGTAAAAATTTGAAAATAATTTTTTTGTTACACGAGTTAATATTTTATGACTAAGATGTTATGGGCAGTTGTTTTTTTTTTGTTTGGTTATATTATATTATATTATGATATTTCTATTGTTTATGCTGTGCATTACTGAAATAATATTTTACTGTTAATAACTTGAAATTCGAAATTGTGAAGTCACTAATTTGTAGAGAGAAAAATATAGGTGCAAAATAAGTATAAGGAAGTGACTTCATCGTTTCTGAATTATATAAATAAATAAATAAATAAATAAACGACTATTAAAATAAATTGTTGTTTCATTTTATTTCATATTTTTTAATTCAATTGTCTGAATTTACTATAGATAAATTGTCTTAGACATAAAAAACTGTAATAGTAGTTACTTAATCGTAGTTTGTGCAACAAAAGTAGATATGATGGCCGGGCAATCCACTTGAGTTGTACAGTATATCCGTAGTATATCCGATTCTACGGGTGACATTTTTTTATTAAAATCTGTTAATAATATTTCAAAAAGCTCAATTCTGTTATTGATTTAAGAAAAGCATTTACTGTGATCTGTTGTATATCTTATTAAACTCTAAAAATGTGAGTGCAAAAAAGGAACAAATGGCATGTTCAATCATAATTTTATTGGCGTTCATTGATCTTACACGTATAAGTACGAACTCTGTGCGTCCGTTGAAGCATATTCCTCCCCAAAACATTACAGAGCCTCCACCAAACGGGATTTTTGGAGAGATATTGCAACTTGCAAATCTCTCTCCTGCCCTTCGCCAAACACGTTCATGCCCATCTGGAGACTTGAGACTAACTCTCGTTTCATCAGAAAATAAAACCTTCTTCCAATCATTAACAGTCCAATGTTGATAATTTCTGGCAAAACACAATCCTGCAACTTTGTGCTCTCGTAGTAATTGTGTCTTTGCCGGTTCTAAGCTCACTATTTAGCCTAGTACTAGTGATCGTGCTGTTTCTTAGAGCAGTTTGCCCAATAAAACGTTCATCCTTTGGATCGGTACATCGTTTTCGTCCTTGTCCTGACCTTCGAGAATAAGATCCTGTCTCATTAAATCGTTTAACCATACGACTTATAGTCGAACAATGTCTTCATATCACATTAGCAATATGACACATCGAAGAGCCCTCATCCACCAAAGTTAAGGCTCTTACATTTTTCAAGATTAAAATATTCGTCGGGCAACTGGACATACGAAACTGTTCCGAACTGTTTTTATCAGTATACGAAATTTAATTTGACCTTTGTAACTTTAAAACTCAACATCTGTTGACACATCGCTTGAAATGTCACAAAAGGTCCACAGCCTACTTGGAAAACATTTAACAATGAATGTTTTGAATAATAAAGTCTATTAAAACATGCTACGCTATAAAACGCCGTATCTCCTTTAATAACAGAGATAATGAAGTAAACCAAAAAAGGAAGTGTTGGCGAAAGATGGACCTACCGCCTAATGCTATATGTTTCGGTTGCTAGTATACTCCACAGGGTGATACTAATTTTCGGGAAAAAACATTACATTTTTATTACACCCGGTATAAATCGAAAAGGAACTTTTTATCATAAACAGCGAAAATTATGACATTGACAAGGAACCAACCTATAATGAAAAAGAAAAATTATTCAAATCGGATCATAAAAAAAAAGCATCAAAAATGTGGCAAAGGACCCCGCCCTTTTCTAATTGCAAAGTGGCGTTCCGTCAAATGTAATAAATTTAGAATATAACGTTGTACTCGACTTGTTGACCAAAAGTGTTCACGGGACCAATTCAATCCTATGACTAGTTTTTAAAGTACAGGGTGTTAAATTCATCGTATTTCTTAAAACTACGTAACTTAATTAAAAAGAAAAAATAAGCATTTTCAGTTGATTGTAGCATTAATATGTTCTAGTCTAACGCAAACGTACACATAAATAGTTCAAAATGTAAACATATACTGGGTGGAACTCAGTTACATCAGGGGGAATTTTTGAAATTCTGAGATTCTGATATGGAATGAAAACATGGTCAAAAATAAAAACTTACACAATGTTTACTGGTTTGATGTTATATAAACTCATTTTACATTATATGTATACAGGGTGATTGTTAATTCATTCCACAGAAAGGCGTTTCTTAAAAAAAAATTACACTCTGTATATTAGGGAATTTGTTATTAATATTGATTATGCATTTAATACCTAGAAAACAATACTGTTTATGGAATACAGGGTGATAGACACATCTAATTCGTTTGTGATGCAGCAATAATTAAAGAAATTCCTTTTTCAGAATCATCCTATATTTTTCAATTCGATCCGTCAAAATGACCGATCTATTTTTGTTATTACCATTAAGCAATTAATAACTTCATATAATTTCATAATATTAGTATGATCCGTTTTTGAGATTCTAATACATAGTGATCCATATTAAATATCAGACATATCCACTCATGTATGTAGGTATAATAATTCCCATATACATGAGTGGATATGTCTGATATTTAGTATGGTTCACTATATATTGGAATCTCAAAAACGGATCATACTAAAATTATGAAATTATATGAAGGTATTAATTGCTTAAAGCTAATAACAAAAATAAATAGTTCGTACATTTTGACGGATCGAATTGAAAAATATAGTGTGATCCTGAAAAAGGAATATTTCTTTAATTATTGCTGCATCAAAAACGAATTAGATGTATTCCATAAACAGTATTGTTTTCTAGATATTATATGCATAATCAATATTAATAACAAATTCCCTAATATACAGTATATTTTTTTTAAGAAACGCCTTTCTGTAGAATGAATTAACAATCACCCTGTATACATATAATGTAAAATGGGTTTATGTAATGTCAGAACAGTAAACATTATGTAAGTTTTTATTTTTGACCATGTTTTCATTCCATATCAGAATCTCTCAGAATTTCAAAAATTCCCCCTGATGTAACTGAGTACCACCCTGTATATATTTACATTTTGAACTATTTATGTGTACTTTTGCGTTAGACTAGGACATATTAATGCTACAATCAACTGAAAATACTTATTTTTTTTTCTTTTTAATGAAGTTATGTAGTTTCAAGAAATACGATTTCTCGACTTTAACACCCTGTATTTTAAAAACTAGTCATAGGGTTGAATTGGTCCCATGAACACTTTTGGTCAACAAGTCGAGTACAACATCATATTCAAAATTTATTACATTTGACGGAACGCCACTTTGCCATTAGAAAAGGGCGGGGTCCTTTAGGATGTTGCGTTAATTTTGTCCAGGAGTTTATATTGACTTTAAAACTGAAAAAGGTTTATTTTTCTTTTCTTTTCGCAACTGGTGACAATCAATTTTTCGAAAAAAATTTCACTTTGTAACGTGATTTCTAATTATTCTATCTATTTGATATATGTGTTTGAGCTCAATGTATAGGGCGTGGGTTTTTAAATAACTCGAATAACTTTTAAAAATAAGTTGGGCACCACTATATTTAAAGCTTACTACACTTCACTCTAGATTAGTGATAAAAATATAGAAAATCACCAGCCACTAATAAATAATACTTAAACCATGCTTTAGATAAGATAGTTATCAAATTCTAATTCAGATAAGTTGTACTAAATTCAAATTTAAAACGATTTATTGAGTATGCACTTATCTTTTGGTAAGTTAGGTAATACACAGAATGTAAATCAGTTATATCATGGTATTTCGTCAGGCAAGTTCCACCAAGGGATACGGGATCCTTATTCGTAATTCTGCAACGTGAATGATCTTCAAGATATATGGTATTCAAACTCAACTGACTTGGAATGAAATGTCTAGTGATGAAAAGTGTGAATGATTTTCAGTGTTCGAACTTGAACTCGAACTGTCTAGAGATGAAATCGAAACCGTCTAGAGATTGAACCAAAACCGTCTTAAAATGAAACCAAAAACGTCTAGAGATGAATCCAAAAACGTCTAGATATAGCCATGAGCTTATAAAATCAGACGGATTTTAAGATAATAAAAATAATTTAATACTTTAAAATAAATGTGATCTATTTGATCTAATCAAATGAAAATGAAAACTTTTGACACAAGGCATAAACGACAAATGACATTTGAGTAAGAGGTGATTGTGTCGAAATAACGGTTCCAACCGTTACAATGTCAAAATTAGAAGAAAAATTCCATCATTCTTCAAATAAAAAATTATTGACTTCAAATAAATCAAAGTTCGACTTTAAGTCGCCATTTTGATTACACTTTTCAATCACTCTTGGCATCGCTAAGAGTAACCACAAAATAGTGTTTATGTCGTCTCTACCATTCTATCTCTATGGATAAAAGTCACTGCATTATAACGACGTTCATTTTAATAAAGTTCAAATTCCTTGTTTTTTGCTTATATTTAACCTATTATAAAATTCTGGCCAGAATTCAATTGTGATTCGGCCGGATCAACCGGATTTAGTGGTACCGCCAGAATTCCGGTACATCCCTAGTCGCAATGGAAAGCGATTTGATCATCGCACTTATTCAAGGAAAGATGGGATGAAACAAGAAACTGAAAAGTTGCCAGGGAGCTTTTAAGTTATCCTGATAACACTGCAGCAAACAAATAATTGACTATGACTAGACAGAACCTGCGCTGCTCACAGGCATTCATTGCCAAGTAGGAAAGTATCTCCATATCATGAGGTTGTCAGAATCCGCACTCTGCAGAGGGTGCGAACAAGAAGATGAGACCATCGAGCATATTCTCTATGATTGCTCGACTCTCTCATTTATTAGGAGACTTGTGTTCGGCGAGTATCGTCTAACACCGGTCGATATAAGAGAAGCACCTCTTGGAGACGTTGTCAACTACATTAAATCTGTGGCTGGCTCACGAGCTAGGAGGTGCCTATCGTCTTAGGAGGATGCACAATGGGCCTAGTGAGGCCTAAGTGCCGTGGGGTAACCCCCCTCTTCACACGTTACAGATACAGAGAGATACAGTGATCATCGCACATATTTTTGACGTTATATCTATGGAAACGGTAAATTTGGTTTTAAATAAAATATTCAAGTACTTTAAAACATACATATATTTATTTGTGATTACATATTCCTTATAACAGTATACAAATTATAAAAACTCATCAAGACTCATATTAAACTTCCTTACAGAACTTAACATATATTACATTACAAATCGAATAAAGCAGCGATAATTTCAACATTCCGATTCCGTTAACAATAATCTCAAATAGACAATCCAGCTTTTTGGCGACACTTTTGCATTAACGCTCGTAACATAAATTGTTTTCTTGACAGAGTTCTGACCTGTCTTAAAAACACGTCGAGATCAATTACACCGCATCTCAGTGCCTCGCCCATATAGTATATGGTGTCTTCTAGTGCAGCTTCTTCGGCAAACGCATTAAGTAGTCTGTAATGAAAAATAAACCATTTGTCACAATTTTTCATGTCATGTTATAGAATAGAATACTTTACTATTTCATTTATAACTTTATAAATTTATAGCAGGTCAAAACAACAGACTAGTCCTGGAAACTCATCTGTTATAGATCCGAAAACAAAGATATTAAATTATTATTTGGAAGTTCCTAAATAAATCACAAAATTACCCCTACGGAATAATGAAAACTATTTTTGAACTTTCAAATAAAAACTGAATAATTTTTTTTACTTTTTTAAAATCGTTTGTTCTTCAAAAAAGTCCAGTAAAATTTGCACGCCACAAAGCATTAATCTTATTTGAGAACATCTGTTATGGCTATGAAATCGGTGTTTAAAAAGCAGGTACTTCACGAATGTACGTTGCACCCTTTCAATTTTATTGATATGACAGGTGTAAGTAGGTTGCCAAATAACAACAGTATTCCAGGACACTTCTCACCAGGCCATTGTAAAGTGCCATGATTGCTTTTGTCATTCACGAACCTAGTGTGTCTTTTAATGAAGCCAATCATTCTGAGGGCTTTGCATACTATGGAATCTATATGGTTGTTAAAAGATATTGTGGTACCTATCAAAAGTAATGCCCAGATCAATAACTGTCGAGGATCTATGTTCAGGCTGTCAATACTGTAACAGTTAAGAGTAAGAGTGATCGACTATTTCGGTTAATCGATCATTTTAATTTAAAAATGTGCATCGCAGTTCCTCTAACTTCGATTAATCTATTATTTAAATTAATTATTTCGATTAATCGATAAATCAATTGTTTCTATTGATCGATTATTTCGATTGATCGATTATTTCGATTGATCGATTATTTCGATTGATCGACTATTTCGGTTAATCGATTAATTTGATTTAAAAGTGCGCATCGCAGTTCCTCTAACTTCGATTAATCTATTATTTAGATAAATCAATTATTTCGATTAATCGATAAATCAATTATTTCGATTAATCGATAAATCAATTATTTCGATTAATCGATAAATCAATTATTTCGATTGATCGATTATTTCGATTTATCGACTATTTCAGTTAATCGATTATTTGGATTTAAAAATGTGCATCGCAGTTCCTTTAACTTCGATTAATGTATTATTTAGATAAATAAATTATTTCGATTAATCGACAAATCAATTATTTCGATTGATCGATTATTTCGATTGATCGATTATTTCGACTGATCGGTTATCATTTTGATTTAAAAATGTGCATCGCAGTTCCTCTAACTTCTAACTGTAACCGCCACAGTAGTTGAGATTTTCAAGAAGGATATCGTGTGACACGCACAGAGTAACTTCTACAAATTTTCCGTTTTCAACCATGTAATCAATGACACACATTGCAGCATCGGGTGTCAAGCGATATGAATGAAAATCAAACTGATGGGCAGAAAACAAATTAAATTAAAAATAGAGTCTCAAAAATAATGAGAGATTACTGTTAATACATTTTTCAACAATTTTGAAAAATTTATTTAAAATTAAAATCGTACGTTAGTTATTAATGACCGATTCTTCACTGTTTTTGTGTAAAGAAATAACTTTTGCAAATAATATCTGGAAAAACACCAGTGAGAAAAATATTATCGATTAAATTTGTCAAAGGGTCTAATATAATTTTAATAGTTCTTTTATAAGATCGGCGTTAATTTCATGAATATCTGGATATGACGAATTGTTAATTTCTGACAACATCAATAACCTCTTATTTTGTAACTGTTTGAATGCCGGGACGACCCCACACTCAAAGTGGGGTGAAACTGGCAAAAAATGTTTCCCCCTAAAATCAAAAATTGACGGGCCCGGGCGTTTTTTTTTTTTTTGTAAATGACCTGGGGTGTCCAAACTTGACTGTTGGCCATCCTGTTCCTGTATAAACATAATATTGGGGCAAAATATGTCTGGAAAATGAAAAATAAATAATAAAAAAAAATCACTTTTATAGTTTTGTTATTAAAATTATAACTTACTGTTTATATAAAGGAGCTGTAGTTATTACCGCATCATCAACATCTATAGTTTCTTCATTGCTAATCCTCTCTATTGCTTTATCTAGTTCCTGTTCCTTGTCTTGTAACATTGTGATATTTTTATCCAAATCGTTCTACAAAAATATATTTTATAAATATCTATTTCGAACAATTGCGTAATTAAAACTAAGTTTCAAAGTTATTTTTCTTCTAATTTTGACATATAAAGTGACATTTTTTTATAATCGCATCAAGTGATGATTTACTTTACGCAATCAATTGCATAATGTTGAACATTAAGAGACTGGTTTCAAAAAGTCACTAGTTGCTAAAAGAAAACAAATGAAAATAAAAACCTTTATTTATTTTTAAAATCAATATTTATTATATGAAAAGGGAAGGTTCACTTATAAAAATAAAGTTTGGTTAAACTTACAACCTAGTAATACTGTTGTTTTGGTCCTTATTTTCCATCCTAAATCAGCACAAAATAATTAAAACACAATACACAACAAAATAACCCACTTTCTTAAAATCCATGCCATTTTATGTAACTCGTTCATGTTGTGGAACCTCGCTCTGCTCGTCCCGCAAATATTCATTCGTTACATAAAATAAGGCATATCGTAACTGGTTTCATAAATAGCTATTAAAACCTACTATATGAATTAGAACCCATTATGCAACATTTATAGTTTGAATAAAAACAAAGTAACAAAATCTATAGAAAGCACTTCGTCATAAGTAGTGATGAGCGATATTTAAAGAACTGTTACTTTTTCACTGATATTAAAAAGTAGCCGGTAACGATTGTTACTAAAGTTGTTAAAAAACTGTGACTGTAATTTTTTTAATTTTTGACCTTCTCATCATTCACAATCATTCGTTCACACTTTGGAATATTCAGTAATATTTTACAGATTTCTCAAAACGACCAACAAGTTATTATTGCAAGTTCTATCATTAATCAAAAGCAGGTGCTGTAGGATAAAAACAAAATTGTGATTTTAATAAATTATTAATCATTCAATGACAATATATATCTTATTTTCTTAATTATTTTTTTAATAGTTCCTAAATTCATTCATAAGGTTCATATTTCATAACAAAATTGAACATAAATAGGTAACATAAGTGTACAAAAGTAAGGACGTGTAACGTATTAGCTATATCAGTATCACTGGAACAAGTCATTTAAAATCGTAATCACCTCACGACTTAAAATAACTGATATTTATAAATTACAGTGACAAAAAAAATCACGATATCGCTCATCACTGTGGCAAAAATTGTAACATTTATCCTTGTCAATGTTAGTTTGAAAAAGATAAAAAAAACCCTTTTTTTAAATGTACTAACTTTTTCTTTTTCAAGTCGACTAAGTATACTGTCCAACTTCATCTTGCCCTGCTTCAACTCATCTTGAGTACGTTTAAGAGTATCTAATTCAGCTTGATTCTGTTGGAACTGCTCTTTCATCCTTCTCAACAATTTTTCCTCTAGGGCCGTCAGAAGAGATTCCCTAATGTGTTCCTCTTTGATAGTCCCCGTACCAACTGGTGGTTGAGGAGTGCCAAATCCAGTAATGGGGTAAGGAGTGTAAGGAGTTTGATATGGGGGATAACCGGGAAAAGCATTGTTGCTAGTCGGAGGATAAGGAGGATATCCACTAAAATTGCTTGAAGGTGGCGCTGGCGGATAAGTTGTTGGATATGGCACGAAACTTCCTGATGGTTGGGGCATGAAGGCTAAAAATAATGACCGTTATAAAGATGATCTTCAAATTAGGACATGATATAACTCTTACTTAGATCCGAGAAGAACAACCACAGAGAAGCGATAAAGTCGTGACGGCAAAAAAATGGAGTGGGGGTAACCCGGCCAACTGTCAATTTCAATGTGCTTGCCACATATATAGCTTGCCAATTTAACTAGTTTAGTCGTGATTCTTGACTTGAGTTTGAGTTAAAAATATATTTTATTTTTATAAAAATGTGTTTTATTTGCTATTTAAAAAACTCACAATCCACCTTTCCCGTTATTCGACAATTTCACATTACTCATGCGCGAAAAAAGCGCGAGCATTTTGAATCTAGGAATTTTCCATACAACTTATTTTTTATGTCTCTTATCCTCGTCTTACAACTGTTGGGTTGGCTACGACGATTACGTCATCGTTACTTTCTATATAGTAGGGGAGCCAGTGACACTTTTTTGGTACACATTTGCACAATGCATTATCTAAAGAAGCTTTCATAAGATGTCGTCGTGGAGGACTCCATCGCTGCAGGGACTAGCAAAGTATTTCCATATTCTACAAGGTAAGAATGAACGAATGTGCAAATAACAAACCTAAAAGTGTCATTGGCTCCCCTACCAACAATAAAAGTTAAAAATAACATTTACGGATGTGTAATTAGAACTCAGATTATGAAACATTACAACGAATGTTGAATTTTAACAGGAAGTAGGATTTGCGGAAAAAGTCTATTAGCATGGTTTTTAGTATTTTTGAAAAATCGAAAGTTTTAACATGACAGAAAATAATGTAATAAAAACCAATATTTTATTGTATAAATATTATGCACGATAAGGAAAAATATTATTTTCATTTTCAATATATTTCTTATCAGTGTATGGCATTTATTACGCTCCATTAATTTTTGTTTCTGTGTATTATACCTCTCATAAGTCAAATTCAAGATCCCAAAATTTTACTTTCAGAATTTCAAAGGACTGACAGTTATTGTTCGCTCCTCTATCGTTGTTATTCTCGGCTTATAAAACAATATATAGTTACTTAAAATGATTTCATAAAAACTAATATCTTCCAAATCACTCAAAATATAGAAATCAGTACATAAAACACATTGCAATTTAAATTAACAAAGGAAAATAATTGAAAATCCAAATTTCTCTTCAATAACAACATTTGCGGGTAATACAAATATATTGGTAAAAGATGACAACTTAACTTGTTTACAATATAGAACAAATGAAGTTTTTATTATTAGTATCGAATGGTTTACAAAAATAAATTAATCATAGTTATGTTAGTATAACTAGGGTTTCCGGTTTATTTATACAATAAATAATGTTTCTATTTTAAGTAGTTTAATACTGAATGAACAAGTTATTGCAGAAGGCGCAAATGAAGTGGTCTGTGACATTTGACATACTGCCGGAACTGTATTCGTGACAATTGACATTTCGGCGGTAAATTCAAATGTTCGACTATGTAACATGCCGCCTTTTGCTTACAAGTCCTGCAGGTAATTTGGTACCTTCGTTTCTCTGGATGGTCTCAAATTGGCTTCGGATTTTGTGTTTGGAGTTGGATTTGACATCTTTATTTTCTCCTGTGCCTCATACTCCAGTGAGTTAGGTACTGGTTTCAAGTGGACTTTGTTTCTTCGATAAACAGCTCCAGCATCAGTTTCAACATGGTAAGAATCAGATTCACTAGCTGTTGAGATTACCTTGCCTCAAGTCCATTGATCCTGTTGGATCACTATGTTTTGACCAGGATGCAGCTCAAGTGCCACTTTGCCTTGTTTCTTTAAACTTTGAATCACATTATCTTGTTTCTTATATAAGCGTTGTAAATTCGATTCAGTATCAAATTTGGGTATTAAGGTTTCTTCGGGTATTGGCAAAGTAGTATTTAACTGTCTACCCATGAGATTTTCGGAAGGTGAGAATGTTCCTTGTTTAGGAGTTGTAATATGTTCCAAGATCATTTCAAATAGTTCAATATCATTATTTTTACGTTACACAGCATACCCTTTACAGTTTGAACAGTCCTTTCTACTAGTCCATTCGACTGAGGATACAATGGGCTGGAAGTTAGCTGTTTGATCTAAAACTTGTTAAGGATGTTTTAAATTCTTCTGAGGAAAACAAAGGTCCATTATCGCTCATAAAAATTTGTAGAATTCCTTGGTGCATAAAAATATTTTTCAGAACGGATATTATATTATTCAATATTTGATGCTGTAATTAGTATATTATCTAAATAAATGTGAACTCCTTCAATGCCTTCTAGGATTTGTTGAATAGTTTTTTGCCATATCTCTTGACTACTGTTTAAACCATATGGGAGCCTCTGAAATGAATACCTTCCAAATGGAGTTGAAATGGTACATAACTTAGGACTTATGGAATCCAAAGGGATCTGAAGAAAAGCATTAGAAGCATCTAAAACTGAAAAAATTTGGATTTGCAAATTCTCAGGAACAGTCAGTTGGTAGTGCTCTCGCTTTATATATTTGTTTAGGCTTTGAGGGTACATACAGATACAGATTTTGCATTGGGTTTTTCTGCTATTACGATAGGGTGAACCCATTCTGTTGGATCCCTTCCTTGCTCCAAAAATTTTAGGTACTGCATTATCTTGCAATCTTATTTTATGTGAGTGGTTTAGTTTACCTAGGCCAAAAATTTGGATTTGCAAATTCTCAGGAACAGTCAGTTGGTAGTGCTCTCGCTTTATATATTTGTTTAGGCTTTGAGGGTACATACAGATACAGATTTTGCATTGGGTTTTTCTGCTATTACGATAGGGTGAACCCATTCTGTTGGATCCCTTCCTTGCTCCAAAAATTTTAGGTACTGCATTATCTTGCAATCTTATTTTATGTGAGTGGTTTAGTTTACCTAGGCCTCGAAATACGTCTTTGTATTCATTTAAGATATTTTCACACTCAGTGACTGAATTAATTTTCTTATTAAGTAACCCAAACCTTTCCATACTGCTTAGTGTTAATATAGGTGTACTTTTGTCAGAAGTTATAAAATATTCTGATACTATCATTGAATTCTGTAGCCAGTTTGACCACACCTTTGACATGGATTTTGTGATTTGTGTAACTCACTAGGCCATTGTTGGTTTTACTGACTTTAGGCTTATTTATTATTTTATTATAAATTTCATAAGGTAGTATGTTAGATTGAGAGCCACTGTCACATTAAATTTAATTTCACTATTATTGATTTTCACTGTTTCTAGCCAGTAATTTTTGTTATTTTTTATACTTCCTATTTTGAATTCAGGGTACTTATTGGTCACCTCACTCACATAATAACTTTTTCCACTGCTGCTATCATTGTAAATTTAATCTTCTTGTTCTTGTACATTATATATTTCTCTTGATTTACATGCCGTTGAGAATTGGTTCTTCTTTTTACATTTCGAGCAAGTCTTACCCCAAGTTGGACAATCCATCACTTTATGACTTTTTAAACATCAAACATTTTTTAAGAATTTTCTTTTCATTCTTTTTCGCTTTCAGGCTTTTTTTCTCTACAAATTTTTGTTGCCTTTTACGTGCTTCATTTGATCAGCAAATATCTATTGCTCCGTTTAGTTGTAAATTTGGCACCTCCAGCAATTTGCTTTTAAGCTTTTCATCTAGAACCCCCACTATGATGCAATGAGTTATTAGGTATTCAGTTAATGCTCCTAGTTCTCATTCCTTTGCAAGGACTTTTAAAGTTGTTACGAATTCATCAATTGTTTGGTCAGCCTTCTGCTTTTCTGAAAATAATTTGTACCTGACATATGTTACATTCTTAAATGGTTTGTAGTGCCGTGAGAGTATGATTTTAACAGTTATAGTATCATCTTCGAGTTCTTCTCCTTCTTCACCCACAAAGGCGAACGTATTATACAATTCTAAACCAATTGGTCCCAGTACGTAAAGGGTTGCTCGTTGTCGGCTCACTGGCTTATTATTAAAATCCTCGGCATCCATGAACAACTCAAAACTCTGTCTGGAGGTTCCCAAGACTGGAGGGGTTTTCACCAGGGTTAAATTGTTCTGGTTGTTTGAAAGGCATCGTTTTAATTTAATTCTAACCTCAATTTTTTCTTATTTAGCTATTATTTACGACGTTTGACAATGTAAAACTTTATATCGACTTGTTCTCCAAGCTGCCACCATGTTATGTTAGTAAAACTAGGGATTTATCTTCGTCTGCAAGCGTTAAATTTTCAATATGTTAAGCGACGTAAACCTGAGTCTGAGTAGTGTGAAAATTGTGAATTTAATAAAGTCAGAATTATCTGAAATGGTCCAGCGTTAAGGGCATTTGTGTCCAGAACAAAGATGTCTGGGTTCGAAGCTCAGCGACAACAGGCTTTTTTTCAAATCTCTAAGAATTTGTTTTCACCTTTGGGGTTCGGGGATGGTCTTGATAATTCGTAAGGGGATTTTTCTATAATTTATTTCTGTACAATATTTTGTTATAAGTCTGTTCCAACACACGCGAAAACGATAGTATGTCGGTACAAATTATGGGCTGTATACCACTTTTGTGTAAAGCGCATGATTTGTACCGTAATATTACGGTTTTCGCGCGTATTGGAACAAACCTATTATTTGTAATATCTTGTTGTTATTATTATTGGCCCTATTTCGTTTTGTGTGTTTTTTTAACATACTCCTGAAATAAAGTTTTGTTTATTATTACTATTAATAATAATACAGGAAGATATTACCTGCCATCGTCGATACAACAACTTAATGGGATTGAATTATGAATATTTTAAGAGAAATTAAATTATTGCTAATATAAAGGGTCTACCAATAGGAGTGATAGAATTTTCGAAGGTCATATGCGTACAATGTTGATTGTTATAACAAGAAGCAAGCGTGGTTTGTGTTCAGTATACTTCGACATTTCACCATGAATCGACTAAGTAAAGAGCAACGTTTAGTTATCGTACAGAGGTATTACGAAAATGGGCGATCGGTTAGAGCTTGTTATCGTGCTCTTCGTGAAGATTTTGGCCAACATGGACGACCTTCTGAGCTCGCTATCAGGCGCACAATTGCCAAGTTTGAACGGGATTACACTCTCTTGGATAGTAAGCCACCGACAAGACGAAGAACTGCAAGGAGTGCTGAAAATATCGCTGCGGTAAGGGCAAGTGTGAACGAAAATGCAAATGTATCCATTGTGCGCCGTTCTCAGCAACTAGGCATTTCAGCAATGTCAACATGGCGTATTTTGAAGAAAGATTTGGGCCTACATCCATATAAGATGGTTATAACTCAAGAACTGCAGCCTGCCGACCATGCTTTGCGAAGAATGTTTACCGATTGGGCACTTTTACAGTTAGAAGAAAATGCTGATTTTGGTAAACAAATCATTTTTTCAGATGAAGCCCATTTTTGGCTTAATGGCTTTGTGAATACGCAAAATTGTCGCTTCTGGTGTGAGAACAATCCCCAACAACTAGTGGAGAGGCCATTACACCCCGTGAAAGTTACTGTCTGGTGTGGTTTGCATGCTGGCGGAATTATCGGTCCCTACTTTTTTGAGGATGCGGATAGGCATACTGTAACAGTGAATGCAGAGCGCTATCGTGCCATGCTAACGGACTTTCTTTGGCCTGCACTTAATGCTGGAGACATGGAAGAGAAGTGGTTTCAACAGGACGGTGCAACATCGCACACTGCCCGAGACACAATGAATTTATTGAGGGAGCGTTTTGAGGGGCGAATAATTTCCCGACATGCTCGAATCAACTGGCCACCAAGATCTTGTGATCTTACACCTCTCGACTTTTTCCTCTGGGGATATGTAAAGTCTTTGGTATACACTAACAATCCCCAAACTGGCGACGACTTGAAAGCTAATATCACCCGAGCTATTCACGAAATACAGCCCAACTTATTGGAAAAAGTTATCGAAAATTGGATTCATCGTCTACACGTCTGCCGCCGCAGCCGAGGCGGCCATCTTAATGATGTCTTATTCAAAACATAATGTCATATAGTTGGCTACAAAATAAAAAAAAATCATAGAAATATATTAGTTTGTTTTTATTTTATAGCACTTTCAAGTTATATCATTCTTATTGGTGGACCCTTTATAAATAAATAAAAATTCATATGGTCTGTTGTGGAATTTGAATCAACATGCTGTCAGTACCTCAGTGTTATTAAGGTATCACGGCCTGACTGAACAAACATAATTTTAAAAATATATTTCTTAGCATACTTAAACCTAAAACAAAGCAGTTTACTTACAGTTTGCACCATAAGGATCAGTGTCTTTAGCTCTTGCAAACACCGGAGGTTGATCACCAAAAGTGACTATTAGAACCTGAATTAGGCCTAGTAAATCTGACTCGCTCTATAAAATAAAAATAGGTAAGAATAAAAATCTTCAATGAAATGAAAAGTACTAATGTCATGCTCTAATCCTCCAAGTCCCTCTCTGTCTTATTTAGCCTTTGTGGCTCAACTTGTCCGATTATCATACATAATTAAACTCCTTAACACCAAACATATGTGATGACTATGGTGAAGGCGCTTTCGATTACTTTCCAGAACGAACGTGATAATTTTTCTAGTTTTGATGAGAGCATTCTAGAGCATCACCAGAATGTTCAATGTGTATATAAATATAGATGGAGGAACATGGAGCAGTCAGTCGTATACAAACAGTTGTGAAGATAAATAGTGAACAGTTTAAAGACATTCAAAATATATAAATTAGAATAGTATTGTTTTTAAATAAATAAGTGTTCAAGTAAATTATTAACAAATAAACTGTTGTTTAAAATAAACAAACGCTACAGTAACATCGTCCGTATTCTTTGGTTGGCGTTTTCTATTATTTATAATTTTGTAAAAACGTTTAAAAACGGGAATATTTTCATTTTATGGCATTAATTATCTTCAGAAAGCAGATGATTCCATCGTGAACTGAGAGGGAGAATTGTCCCACAAAGGTGGGATCGTTTTATTCAGGAGTCCCTAGGATGGGAGAAATGTAACTATGGTGAATAAAAACAAAATTGAGAACTATTTTGAAATCTATTAAGTAAAAAAAAATGTAGATATACATAATGTCATAAAAAGACATCCAGATATTGTCACATTTTTCCATTGTAGTGTTTTTTAACTGTAAACACAATTTATTTAGCAACATTGGCTTGGTTAGTATCTCTGGATATTAGGTATTGCAAAGTCGAGTGTTACATGACTGGAAAGCTTATGTGTTATTTCGACCACCTACTATCAGGGGTGAACTAATAGTAATAAAACACTAAATATGAATAGAATTGCAATTTTTCAAAATATTTCCTTATTCGTTTTCTGTATCTGTAATGTGTAGAGATAGGATTGTGCATCTTCCTACTCTGATAGGTCTCCTCCTAGCTCATAAGCCAGCCTACAGAATTAATGTAGTTGACAGATATGCTTCTCTTATATCGGCCGGTGTTAGCAGATACTCGAAGAACACAAATCTTCTAAAAAAATGAGAGCTTCATGCAATCGTAGAGGATATGCTCTATGGTATCATCTTATTCTTTGCACCCCCGGCAGAGTGAGGATTCTGACAGTGTCATTCAAAGGAGATGCTTCCGTACTTGGCAATGACCATTCAGAATGCATGTGATCAGGCACATATTCTAGTAGTATGTTTGCTGTAGTGTTTTCAGGATAACTTAAAAGTTCCCTGGCAACTCTGCAGCTTCTTGTTTCCCATCTTTCTATGAATTTCAGAAGAGAATATTCTTTAATTAGATCTGTACGACCGATCTTGTCAGTCCAATTAAGGGTCAGGTCCAAAAAGTATTTGGTTGGCTGCCTTCTTGGCTAGTGAAACAGCAAAACGGTTGCCTTCTTAAGGTCACCACATTGTTGATGAATACTTCGGCCAGAGCTTTGCGACATTCTAGTACTAACCCTGAGCAAATTCGTTACGAATATGTTACGTGCTTTATTAGTATTTTTAAAAAGAGAAAGAAACTTTCTAGTGATGTATCAGAATAGAATTTTATTAACTGTCACTATAATAAATTATTAACAGCATCCAAATTAGGTTAAAATTGAACAAAATAAGATGGCGACTGTACACTAAAGATGATCCATACAGTTTCTATGACCTTTCGAAATATATAAGGCAACCCCATAATATTCTACAATATCAAAATAATAACTGTAATCATTTAAAAGAAAATACCTTGTTGACTTTTATTGTAAGGCATATAATATTAACACTTGTATTGATGTAGACTGGACACTACCATTTAATATGTTTAGAAAACTTGTATTTAATTATTACATTACTATTAATTAATTTTAATACTGAATAAGTTGTAATATTAGTTGTAATTACCTACTGTTTATTACTAATATTAATAGCTTCGTTTGCGGTAACAATCCTGAACTGATTAGAATTACTAATTCATACTTTGAGCGCATGCCTGATTCATTATCAATTCTGAATTTTCATCGCGCGTATAGACAAGCAGTTCAAAACCAATAATAATTTTACCGCGAACGCAGGATAGAACCAATAATTCAGTTCTTTTTGTTCCGCGAGCGCTTTTTAACTACTGCGTCTGCGAAATCGTTACTATTAGTAATAATTCGGTTCAGGATTCTTACCGCGAACAAAGCTATTATTATTATGTATTATAATACTTTTATCCATGTAATAAGGCCGTTGGCCTGTTTGGATACAAATAAATAAATAAAATGGGAGGGAAATTAAAGAGTTATGCAATTACCTATAGCATTGATTACATGACACATGACTGGTTTATTGAATTGCACTGCAGTTATCAAATTATTTTTAGGTATGAAATTTCAGCCTTACACCTCTCAAATCTTTCTAAAAAAAAATTTTACAAAAAAGAATGAATCACCATTTTCTGAGGAGGGAAATATTACGGTGTTCTTACTAAATAGTGATAATCAAACTGAGATAGCACAATCAGAATAAGATGCACAGGCACTAGGTTTACTTGGCAATACTTGGTTTGATCTCAGACCTAATATTGCAGAAATTCTATTTACCGGAAATTCTGGGCTGAAATTAAAAATGGTAACACAAAACAAAGTTGACATTTTCAATTTGTTTTTCATTACTGATCTCTATAATTTGATATTGAGGAATACAAACAAATATACAGGTCAGTTTTTTGCAAGGATCAACATAAAATTGATGAATATCACTATGTCCCGAACTTTAATTAAAATAAAAAAAGACTGCTTTTTCATATGAACACAGTCAGATTAAATAGAATATCTCATTATTGGAAGAAGACTTATTTATTATTTCTATATTTCAATAAACATGTAAAGAATACAGGTTTAAACTGATATTGTGTAATCTACAATTCGCTCCAAACCTTGGAAGAAAACCCGCCAAAAACTACATATAAAATATAGATTTTTTTCAGTAATAAGATGAACGAAATTCATTATCCTTAAAAAATTTAAGTATTGACTGGAAAAGGACGATTAATTTTTCATCAATATATGAAAGGAAAGAGGGCTGTACCTATACCTGCCAACCCTGGTCGGTCATGGCTACTGACCACTTAGTGGCAATAATGTTACTACATTATTGCCCCATTATTGCACCAATACTTTCTACTAAGCAATCATACAAATAGAATACCCAGTGGCGTACCCACATTTAGTTTATAAAATAAGAAAATGATTTAATAAGAAAAATGGCAATGAAATGCTCACAGTGTGAGATTATTCATCAGCCTACAAAAGAACAAAAAATATCCATGCTCTACATGTGATGGATGCAGAAGATTATACTGCAACCAATGTTCTGAATTATCAACCACAGAAATTAGGTGTATACCACTACGCACTAGAATTCTGAAATTTCATTGTGCAAAATGTAGGAATTATGAACTGACTGATTTTCTAAAGAAGACTAACGAAGATAAAGATGAAATAATAAGAAGTAAAGATGAAATAATAAATAGTAAAAATGAAATAATAAAAATGCTTCAAGAGAAAATTAAAGAATTTGAAGAAAAAGAGATAAATATTGTACCTACCAATTCTTATTAAGTTATTAAGTTACGAAAAGAAGACAATGAATGAAAACCTAACCCTCCAAAAATTATTATTAAACCAAAAATACCACAGAGTGGAAACAAAACAGATTTAGGAACAAATATTAACCTAACGGACTTAAAAGTTGGAGTGAAACAATAGAGGACTTCTATACAAGGGAGTGCAACCAACTTGACAAAATAAAATTGACACTAATGACATAAGAAATCGGGTCACATAAAGAGGCTGTTTTTTAGTTTGATTTTTGGTTTTTCCTATCTACTTTCATGCCATTTGCATATCTTGTTGTACCCGTAACGTGAAAAAGACTTTTTATTTTAGGGTATTTTACATTTAAAGGTTGAAAACATTTGTCAATATCAGCTGTCGATAATGTCAAAACATAAGCGTAGCATTGCATTTTATTTTTTGTTGTTATTAGTCTAATTGTGTTTCTCCTGCTTTCTCGAAACATTATTTTTCATTTGGTTTTATTTATTTATGTCGATTGCAAAATGCTGCTGCTACGAATACAAGTTCTATAAAATATACAACCAACATACAATACTAGTTACTTATGCCCATATATGGTTACGCCTGTGTTCTATCATCAACATAATTGACAGCTGACAATGACAAAATATTTCAACCTTTAAATGTAAAATACCCTAAACTAAATAGTCTTTTTCACGTTACGGGTACAACAAGGTATGCAAATGGCATGAAAGTAGATAGGAAAAACCAAAAATCAAACTAAAAAACAGTCTCTTTATGTGACCCGATTTCTTATGTCATTAGTGTCAATTTTATTTTGTCAAGTTGGTTGCCCTTCCCTTGTATAGAAGTCCTCTATTAAAGATGGGAAAGAATGGTTCCGTTATACTTTCCTGTCAAACAAAAAAAGAAGCTGAAATTCTGGAAAAGCTGTTCAAGATAAATTAAAAGATTCATATGATGTAGATCTGATAAAAATGAGAAGACCCAGAATGAAAATCTGCACTTTTACGGAGAATATGACCAAGGAAGAAATTGACAAGTCCATTGTGAAACAGAATGACATAACAGGTGAAATAAAAACCACATATATCAGAAAACCGAAAAAAGGCTTCGATACTGTATACTGTGAATGTTCAGGAACTGCATTTAAACAATTGATACGAAGGAAAAAAATATGTATAGGATGGGAAAGAATTCAGGTTTATGAAGATTTGGAGATACCCAGATGTTTTAAATGTCAAGGTTTCTACCATAAAAAAGAAAGCTGTAAGAATGCAATCGTGTGCCACATCTGTAGTGAAGAACATGAAGCTAGCTTGTGTCCAAAGAATAAAATACACTGTAAGAACTGTAATTCTGCACTGGATTGGACTTGTCCCTCTTTGAAATATCATCAAATGGTATTGCAAAATAAAACCGAATATACAGATCAATAACATAACGTAACTAATATTTGTACACACATTCAAATAGTTCATGATTATTAATCAAGAAAATAATCTATTAAAATCTATTCAAATTGATTCGATTAATGAAGTCGTTGATGCTGCTAATATAACAAATAAAATTAAATTAAATACTCCTAAATGTCTTACATTTCAATATTAGGAGTATTAAAAAGAATTTTGATGAGTTGTTAGTATTTCTAGAAAGTTATAAAATTAATTATTGTGATATAATAGTTTTGACTGAATGTTTCCAATTAGAATCTATTTCTCAATTTAACCTAGATGGCTTCACCGCCCACTATAACAATGGTAACATTAACAGAAATGATGGTGTTGTAATTTTAGTCAGGTCAAATCTAAATACAGAATTAAATATAGTTAAACTGGAATATTCTGATATTTGTGTCACTAAAATAAATCTAAAAGTCAATCATCGGACCATTGGCATTACAGGTGTATACAGGTCTCCTCAAATCTCTGCACAAGCATTTATAAGGGATTTAGAAAATTTCATACCAAATCACCTAAATAGAAATATTGAAATATTCATAGGGGACATTAATATTGATCTCCTAAATGTAACCAATCAAGTAACTACTGATTACCAAGCAACTTCTTACTCCCATGTTTCATGTCTTACATAAACACTATTACGAGACCACAAAGTAAAACATGCTTGGATCATATATTCTTGAAAAACAATATTAAGACTGAAAATCTATCAGTGAACTCTTATGTAATCAGCTATGATATGACTGATCATGATCCTATTCTGATAAATATCTCACAATCTACCAAAAACTACACAAGTTCCTACAATACATATAAAACTATAACTAAAATCAATACTGATAAATTAAAACAAAAATTCGAAACTGTAAACTGGGAAAGTGTTTGCAATGAAAATAATCCAGAAATTGCAACACAACTTTTTTATGACACGTATTTTAATATCATTGAAACATGTCAAACTACTCAAAATATTAAAATTAAAATCCATAAAAAAATAAAGCCATGGATAACAAATGGTTTAATTAATTCTATTAAAACTAGGGATAAACTTAAAAAAGATCTACAAAAAACTATACTATTAACAAACAAACTCACTATAAAACATTTAGAAATAATTTAAACAAACTAATATAGAAAACTAAAAATGACTATTATAACAATAAAATAAACCAAAACAAAAATGATCTGAAAAAACTTATCAATTAATCTCTGAAGCAACTAATGAAAATCATAAAAAAATAATACCAATTTACAGATTGTTAACCAACATAATGAGGAATTTGAAAATGATAATGACATGGCGAATTACTGCAATAACTACTTTACAACTATTGGCACTAATATGTTCATAAATATCCCTGAATGTAATGTGGATTTTTCTGAAACTGATATGCAAAAACGATATTATAAAATACATAAATAGTTTAAAAAACAATAGTGCCCCGCGATTTGATTGTATAACAGTAAAACATCTGAAACTACTACATCCATATTTACTGGAACCTTTAATGCATATAATTAATTGTATTTTTAATACAGGAATCATACCTAAACAATTTAAAACTTCAATTATAACACCTATTTATAAAGCTGGTAATCCAAAATTAATAACTAACTATAGGCCTATTAGTTTAATTAGTAATGTGGCCAAAATATTTGAGAAATGTGTGAAAGATAGACTGACAAATTTTTTAAAAACTAATGACTTACTTGCCAAGCACCAATATGGCTTTACTGAGGGTCTTAACTCAGGAGATGCTATGCATGAATTGATTTCATGTGTTACTGATGAAATAAATACTGGTAACAAGTGTGTATAGCTATATTTCTAGATCTAGCAAAAGCATTTGACACGGTGCCACATCAGAAGCTCTTAAATGTTCTTGAAAAGAATGGAGTGAGGGGCATCATGTTAAAGGTTTTTGAAAATTATTTGACACAGAGACAACAGAAGGTAAAGGTCAGAGACAATGTGAGTAACCCTGAAAATATACAAATTGGAGTGCCTCAAGGGACTGTTCTGGGACCTATACTATTTAATTTATACATTAAGAGCTTAACTCAGATTGATATTCAAGGTAAAGTTGTATTATATGCTGATGATACAGTGCTAGTCTTCAGTGATAAAGATTGGAAAGCCGTCAAAACACATGCTATAGCTGGAATGGAACATGTCAAAAACTGGCTGGATGTTTTTAAATTGTCTTTGAATGTTAACAAAACAAACTACATTGCTTTTTCAAAGACAGTGGCTGATCGACCTCAATTTATAAGCTTAACATGTCAAAATTTAGACATACAGGAAACAGAAACATCCAAATATTTAGGTATAATTATAGATCAGCACTTAAAATGGGACTGCCATATAAAAACTTAGATTTCTGATTTATAAATTTTATCTTCTAAAACAATTTCTCAACCAGGATCTACTAATAACATTATACTACAGTGTAGTAGAATCTATACTACAGTATGGAATCTTAGTATGGGGAGGCCTGTATGGAACTACATTAAATCAGTTAAATGTTATTCAAAACAAAATCTTGAAGTTAATATATAAAAGAGATAGATTGTGTCCCACCATAACTTTATATAATGAAAAAAATTAGCAATGTTAGATGTTTATATATTCACGCAGTGTGTTGTTATATACAAAAAAATGAATTTTTAAAAAACCCTTTAGAACATAGACATAACACTAGAACTGCATCGAACATGTGCATTAAAGTACCAAAACCAAACAGTGAGATTTTTAAAAACAGTGTAAATTATCTAGGGACAAAGTTCTATAACGCTCTACCTCTTCATATAAAATTATTAAACAAATATAAAAAATTCTGTTAGCAAAATATACATTTTCCAAAATAATGCAAAGTTTATCAGAATATTCCAAGAATAACTGACTTGATACATAGATTTTTTTAAATAGTTTTTTTTTGTTTCTTGCATAAATTGTTCAAGTTTTATTTTTTATTTAAGAAAAAATTTTCCTTTATAATTCATTAAATATAAATTTTTATCAGCACATACAGGTGTTCTCACCTAGGTGCTTGTTATTATATAATTGGTTTCCATTATTGTAACTTATTTATTATTGTAACTCATTGTAACTCATAACTATTAAACTATTATATCATCTCCTGTACATGCAAACGGCAATTCGACAGACACAAAGTGGGACCAAAGGTTTGACCTTGCCAACACTGTATAAGGGTTAAAAAGGAGCAACCTTTAAAAAAATTGTATAAATATATATGGGCCATGTTATGTAGAAATTAAAAAGTATTTTTTGGCTAAGCAATAACCTGTTTTGTTTGGATTTCTCATTATAATTTTTTTTTATATTTCAATTCTTGTTCTTTGTAAGTTATATATTATTCTGTTTTTATTTTTTGGGGTGTCTATTTGTTAATAATACTATTAGACTGCAGATCAATATGTATAGCAAACCTTTACCTTTATATATTTATGCATTTGTTTTAATAAAGAAGTATTATTATTATTATTATAGATACCAATACACAAAAAAATGTGTTCTGGCAGTGGCTGCTTAAAGTTTAAAAGTCTGCAGGATAGTAAAATAACACAATGAATAGTCATGTCTATATTTTTAAAAATTAAAGTTAGTTGACTTGAAAGCATTTTGCAGAATGCTAATTTCTTAGTTATCACACTAAATACCTTAATATTTCGCAGTATGGCCCTAATAAACAATAAAATAGAGAAATTGTATTAAATAAGTATACCTAAAAGACTACAAATTAAATTCAGTGTTAAAGATACTTACTGGCACCCAATCATGTAGGTATGGCAAATAGATTTTTCCACTCTGATCAACAAACATGGATACTTTTATGGACATATCTGAAGTGGGTTTAACATAGCAAATAGGTGCATTTTGTGGATGTGTATCAATGAGCCAGATACAAATTGGAATATTGTAGACACTTCCTTTATATCTGACGGGAATTGTACCACTTAAATTAACAAGTTCCATTCTAGATCCATCATTAAAATCTAAAACGAATAAAAATATTGGTAGAAGTGACTTTTGAGACCTATATCTAAAGAAAAGCTATTTAATTACACATTTAACTTACTGTAAAGGCTTTGTTCCGGATGTAAACCTCTGTACTGATTTGTAACACTCATTATTTCTCTATAGGCCACATCAGGATTATGATACTAAAAAAATATAAAAGATAAGTACTTATCAAAAGATCTAGGTTTAATCCTACTTGTTTTAGCCAACTTCTCAATCTTTCGCTGTCGACCATTATAAATAGTGGATATATACGATTAGTTAATCAAACTTTACGAAAACTGTAGGCCTTAATTAAGTTTATAAATAAGAGTAATCGATAAAATTAGACTACAAAGTTGAAAACACAAGGATATCAACGATAATGACAGCAGCACCACAGCAATGACGCACGATTATCAGCTGTCGCGGGTGACAGCTACTGTCTAATGTCATGTCAGTTGTCAAAGTAAAAGCAATAAAAAATGTCTATAGTTACAAAATGAGGCATTTTAGTGTATAAAAAAACATTTCATCTTTTTATCTATTTGAACCATTTTGTATTAAAACGTCAAATTAATTCATTTTAAATTAAGGAACTCATAGAGGACCAAACCTGCAATCTCCAGGTTACAAGCAAGCTTCAGTAGAGAGCGAATGTAGTCCCTCGCCACTACAAAAGAATTGACCACCAAACCCTGGCGAGCTCGGAACGACAATGTTATCGAGACGGCACCGAATACGTCACTCTCTATGCCGAATCCAATTATTCTTCCAGAAGTCATACTAGAGGCGACAACGCCATTAGTCCCAATTGTATCATTACTCGATCAGGTCTGATCCAGAGGGGGGGGGGGGATGTAACACTACCCAACTTCGCAACACAACCTTGTAAAACTGTAATGAAGAGAAAATGCAGCGCTCGTTCTGATAGACAGTTAAAACGACCTACTAAACATGAAACATTACCAGTCTTTTTTGTAACGTTCTTCAAAGAGACTTTTCTTGATATATTTTTAGAACAATGTTGAAATATCCCATAGATGTTTAAATTTTAACATCATATTCATTAACATTCCTGGCATATATCTAAAAATGAAATAAAATGTACGCTGGAATACTTCAATTAGCAGTTACATAAATATCTTCTTTGCTTCTTTTTAGTTACTTCCTGTGACAAACATTTATAAGATGTTAATTTGTATAACTCACAATAATATCGCATACAGGTCAGCACAGTAATGTATACAAGTTACACATCTTTAAGATGGCTATCTTTAGTCTTTACATCGCAGACCTGACAGACCTAACAGTTCGTCCCGCGTTCATATAGATGGAGATACCAATGATCGCTTGGTATTTACATAAACGGAACACTTTATTATGGAGGAGTCTGATGCTCAGTGTTAAGTATTTCATCAAATTTCTTACTTTTACCTTTGATATTGATTTAGACCATTGTATTATCTTACTTTTTCTGGAAAATCTGGAAAATGAAATATTAAGACACAAATTAACAAATAAGTATACTCAAAACTCAATTGAATAATAAGAAGAAACCCTAAAGATTTCAAAAGCTGACACGTTGAGTGACATATTAATGCCCTGCCCACAAGTTATGATAATAGTCGTCTACGGACCTTAAATTTTACTCACTTTGCCTCTTTAGGTTTCGAGACTTTTGAGTGAATCTGACGCAGTTTAACTCAATAAAGCAACAATACTGTTCTTCATTGTTAAATATTCTTGCATAATTCTTGCGTGTCTACAAGCAGCCATTTTTAAAGAGCAAATATCCTCTAACCATCCGCTAACGTTACCTTAGCCATATACTGTCGGTAGAAGTAAAAGAATGTGAAAGGCTGCTCAAACCATAGATAAACTAATAAAGAAGATGGTCGGATTCTGTGTTAATCTTTGGAAACGTAGTGCTGCGAATTAGTATGGAACGGATCTTTTTTGAACTACACTGGCTGATTGATTTGTCAGTAAGAGGCATAAAAAAAGAAGAGTGTTAACGTAACCGCGGTTCATTTAAATATCTTTATTTATTTATATTTTTTGGGGTTCATTACTTTAAAAAGAAAAACTAATATTTATATTAAAATATTGTATTTAACATATATATTAGTTTTTTTTAGTTATAAAACCCCAAAAAATATATACAAAAATGTAGACAAAAAATATTTACACTGAAATAAAATATAAGACAAATATATTTAAATTATTTATTATACAGTAATACATACATAATGTGTTAATAAAGAACAATTGTAAGTGAAATGAATACTAGTTTCCCCACATTCTTGTAAAAATGGACCATACTTTGATGGGCGTCAGGTGTTTCCTATAAAAACAAAACAAAAAGTGTACATATATGTTATTGAACAATTTCTCTTATCAAAATGTTGACCATTTTTATAAAACTAAGTTATTTTTAATTATTTGCGAAGATTGAGAACGACGCAGTCAACATATCCAACAATTTTGTCATTAACTGTATCAAAAGTGAGTTTTTCGGTTAGAGCTATTTCGTCGAACATTAAAATACAATTCCTATCAATTTCTGGCATTTTTCTAACAATTTCTTTAAATCTGGAAAACACTGAATCATTTATCCCCGTTTCAAAATGTAAATCACTTAAAATTTGTTGGATAGTAGATTTACTAGGCAACGAAATGCATTTTCTTAAAAAATTATATGCTCTTGGACCATTTTTATATAATGCTAAAGAAAAAATTTTATTCTGAGTGGTCCAAGAGGGTTTCTTTCTTACAATTTTCTAAACTACTTTTAAAGAATTTAATTCCAATCGGATCTAATTTATTATTAAAATCTGAAAATAACTGAGTTTTGGATAATTCAAAGGCTTTCTTGATTTTATTTTTGGAAACACGTAGAGCTTTCTTTAGCTTACAAATTCTAACGTTCTGTTCTCTATTAATAAAATACAGCTTTTTCTCTTTGGGACTTAAATTTTTGACTTTACTTTCATTTATTTGTTGCAAAACAGTTTTTCTCCGTATGGAGGGTTGTTCAAATTGTACATCACTAATATTTAGTTTACGTTTGCAACTAATTTCTTGATTTTCGTTGCTGATTAGCAAATCTATCTTATGCTGCTGTGTTTGTGCTTCAGCCTCAATATATTCTGAAATCTGGCTCTCGGGTTGTATATTTGAACTGGATGCATAATTATCTAAAGAAATTGGTAAAGAATGTACAACTAGTCGTTTACGTTTTGAGGCAACCTTACTAAAAGACTGGCAAAAAATGATCTTCACAAAGATAGCGAGTATTATTATCATCTAAAGTTAAATTTAAATTCTTAAACCAGTTCTGGCGAACTTTAACATCAGAAGGAAAATGAAAAAATGCTTTATTTGAATAACCAACTTGCTGAATATTAGAATAATACTTATTTAAACAATTAGGAGCTGAACAAGAATACTTAACTATACCCGGGCCAGACATTTTTGTTTCAAATATTAGAAAAGGAATTGTTGAAATATGAAATTAGATACCTATATTTCGTTAAGGCTAAGAAAACAATGATAAACAAAGTCCTTAAATACTTAATATTAAATTAAAGTTAATACTTACTAATTACATCAAATCAGCACCGTTTGTTTCTTAACCTAAAAATAACTTACCTACCTATGTAACTTACATCATAAAATAAAAATAAGTTTTATTTTATCATATCTCGCCTTCCGCCATCACGTTTTTCATTTTTTACAAGGTTGTCAATCCCGTCTTTTAAAAATCTCAGCAATAGTATGGACATTGTATGGATGGTATGGTGCGCATGTAGATTGATAAAAAATTAAAATAAAATGAATTTGAAATAACTATCATCTCATGAAAGTGTACGGAAACCGGCAACATCGCTTTCATACTATTGCGATGGTGGCGCTAACTAATAGTATGCTGGGAACTACGCCGTGTTGACAGTGGCGGGCATTTAATAAATTCATCTTGTTTTATATTAATTTATCTATGGCTCAAACAAAAATAAAAGAAGGAGTTTTATAACATAACTTTATGTTCTGTGATGTTGTTATTTGTTAGGTTAGGGAGAGTAAGTGTGATCATTGTTTTGTTTTTGTTGACAAAAAGATAAAAAAAATCAAGTTATTGTTATTTGTAAAAAATATAATATGAATGAATATGGTTCGAAATTATTACCACCGGCAAAAGAAACTAGCACTCGTGCTGCTTGTAAAAAGTGCGGATATGCTGGTCATTTAACATACCAATGTCGTAATTTTATAAAGGTAGACCCCAATAAGGAAATAGTTTTGGATGTAAGTAGTACTAGTAGTGAATCAGATCAAGATTACTTAACACCATTGACTGAACTACGAGAAAAAGAATTAAAGGAAAAATTGAAGAAAGCTAAAAAGAAAAAGAAGCATAAATCTTCGAAAAGCAAGAAGAGGAAACATGATAAATCTTCGAGTGAACATGAAGATGATAGCAATACAGATAGTTCAAAACGCAAAAAAAATAAAAAGAAACATAAAAAACATAAGAAAAGTAAAAAGTCAAAAAGTTCCGATTCAGAATCATCTGACAGTGACTAAAAATAAAACTTAATTAGTGAAAGTGTGAAAATTAAATTTTTATTTTTTTTTTTTCATTGTAGCTTAATAAATCTTTAAGAAATATATAATTTTGGCTTTAATTAGTATTAGTATTGATTAGTACATTTATATATTGATTATTAATCGACTTAAATGCTGGCCACAGGTTTGGAATTTTTGGATTAAGGATTAAAAAATAAAATTATTTAACAGGATAGGTATATCACTTCCATTTAACATTCATGTCAGAAGCATGCAGTAACTGTGTAAAGGTGACGTCCAGTAGAACCTAAACATACTTTGTAATTTAACAGTTTTCGAGTCTGTATGCTGCACACTAGTTTAAATTTCTAATCCAGCTATGCAAAAGTCAAAAATTTATTAGCCACATAATTTAAATTTTTGGGTACCTGGTAGTACAAAAGAACCCAGTACATAGGAAGTAGGCACTAATAAAAATTGAATGCAGTCGTGATAAGCAGAATGCCATTAGCAGCTCAATTTAGGCCTATTCGTTTTAAGTGAATCACAAGTTCATCAACATTTTATGTTTGTTTATAAACTATTGATAGTCTGTTCAAAGGCAGGTCTTGTTTTTACATAATTTTAGTTATATTAATGTACTATTATTTGGGAGAAAATTATAATTAGAAGGTATATAATTTTATAAATAAAAAGATTAATGTTTGGACCGTCTCGATCTGAAACTATATTATAATATTTTTATAATTTAATATAATACAAATTAATAACTAGTCGTTACATAAAAAAAGAGAATATTTCGAGAGCGAAATATAGATCAGTATGGCCGTGTTAGCAGGTAAACAAATTTTTGTGTGATTACTCATTGTAATATTAGCTTTGTTTTGGTTCACTTTCGTAACTGTTCTAGAACTTTTCCAGAACCTTTGGAGCATGCGCAGTAGATATTTGGTGTTTTGATTTCGCTAGAACTGTTCCGAACCTGTAAGTTCTGTGTTTTGGTTTTTCTTGGAAATGGTTCCATAACCATTCTCGAACAGTAAAGTCAGTTCTGGCCTAAAGCGAGAACCGTTTCAGAATTGATATATTTGCGCTTGCGCTTTTTTGCAAATAGTTTTGTTTTTGAGATCTTGGCCATGTTTTGTGTTGGAATTTTTACAAGGAATTTTCGAATGACTAATGAGGATGGAGCAGTTGATTAGTTGATGTTGGGTCATAAGATTTTTTACGAATAAATTATTTAATTTATCTACGTTTTCCAATATAATGTGGCCTCTTTCTTACCTAGACACTGACCCGGTGTTATTTCTTCTTTTTTTATTTATATATAAATTTGGTTTCAACAACTATCAGAAAATGATATTCAAAATAGACCTTTTCATCATGTGATGAGCGCAAGCGCAGCCATCATGTTGAAATAGCGGTAATTCAAAAGTTTCGTACTGTTTTGATCGACAATGGCTGGGAAAGCAATATTATCTCTACAGAAAAATTAATCATTAGAAAAAATCGTTGATGGTGATTAACTTTTTTAAAACTCTATGGAAGCGCATAGTTGTGAGCAGTTGAAAAGGTGGTTGAAGTGTCTTGGACGTTTGTTACAAAGGAAGAAAGTGAACTGATTGAGAGGTTAGGTGTATCAATACTTCTTAACTGTGTAAAAAATTAATGAAAACAAATATTAATTATAACTCTATTCTAATTAATTATGCCAACCGACTATTATTACTTGCAAAAACACTTTAATTAACATGAAAGTTAATCACGAGTATAATTTATAAAATAAATTATTTAATATTTTGAGGATCAACATGACATTTTTAATCATATTACTATGTGTACCGAAGTAGTATTTAATATTAAAAAAATATTGTTTAATACCAGATAAGAATTTTTTTCTGTTGGGCCACTTTCTCCATGAAAATGCAGTGAACAAATATAACTATCTTTAGTAACATCATTAATCCATCGAAAACCGTTGTCACTTCGTCCATATTTTTTTACACCTAATGCACATTTTGCCTATTTTTTTATATGGATTTTGCCTGATAATATTTTACGATATTGCAGCCAAGCCTTTGGAAAATTTATAAAATAATATGTATTGCCTTTGAATGAATATACCGTGTGTCACTTTTACATAAAAAATATTTGTGATTTAATTCTTACCTTTTTTATTATCTGTTTTGTGTTTCCGAAAACTAGTAAATTTTGAAAACATGAAATAATTAAATAATTGTAGTGATACTGTTTAATTTTGGTACTTATGTGACAATAGTTGTTTTGTAAGTTGTCTATATATTATTATGATAAAATGTTACTTAACAAATTTGTTTAAATAACAACAGAATATTTATCCCCACAACAAGTTCGCTTCGTGGGTAGTGTATTTTGTTTGTTTGTTTGTTTATTTATTTATTTAATATTTTATATCTAAAATTATTAAACTATATATTGTATTATATTCAAAAAAAAATTTAATTGTGTTATTTAAAAAATTTAATTGAAAACAATATTTGTACTACATTATAGATAAATAAACATTATTATTATTATTATTATTATTATTATTATTATTATTATTATTATTATTATTATTATTATTATTATTATTATTATTATTATTATTATTATTATTATTATTATTATTATTATTATTATTATTAATTTACTTTTTGACATTACTGGTTCTGGCAGTGTTTTGGTTTCGAATACAAGTGGAATGGTTACAGAACTGTTCAGAATTAAGGACCATTGCGCAATAGTTCTGCGCATGGTTCTGGAACAATTCTAGAACGTGAACCAAAACAAACCTATAATGTAAAGAACATTAGCAGTCAAGAGTGGGGGATGCGGGGAACTTATAGCGGTAGTAGCGTAGTAGCGAAATGGGTCACCTTGAGTGCCTTAGTGAAATCAAGCTGTTAGTTGATGCCTTTGATGCTCACGCATTGTTCTATTTGACTTAATTATTAATAATTGATATTATGTATGTTTTGATAGGGCTTCGACAATGTCCGGAAATATTTCTGGTGTTCAATCACGATGTAAACAAAAGATTCCTGACATATTATAGGTTCACTGCTACGCTCACTGTTTAAATTTAACTCTCGTAGATGCTTGCTGTTCTAACCCAAATAAATTAATTTTTGATATTTATTGAATAATTCCAATGTGTTTATTCGTTTCTTGAAGGTAGTTCTGTAAGACATGCAATTCTAGAAAAAATTGCAAACAGTGTAAATAGGTCACTTAAAACATTAAAATCGTCAACTAGATGGGCATGTAGATCTGAACCGGTTTCTGCAGTGAAGGAAAATTTCGAAATTTTAATAATAGCTCTTGAAGAAATTATTCAAAACACCAAACAATCTGTTAAAATAAAAGCGGTGGGATTACTAACGCAGTTAAAATCGTTTAATTTCTTAATTTGTTTGCATGTGACCTCACCTATTTTAGTAATGATTCTAAAAGTAAGTAAAGCATTACAAATGGAAAATTTCAACTTAGTGACCGCAATTAATTCTGTAAAGAGTTTAAAATCAAGTTTGCAGAAACTGAGGGTTGATTCCGAAATATTTTTAAATAAAATATGTGTTGAAATTGAAGAAATATCTAACAAACATGGTATTACAATTCCGGAACGAAGAAAAGTTCTTCGCAAAATTGACCAAATGTGTAATAATCAACACGAATTTGGAAATATTAAAGATTTCGTTAGGATAAACAGGTTTTATCCTTTTTTTGGATTCACTTTATATTTTATCTTTAGTAGAGGTTCATAAGTAACCAATGATTATTGAATAACGTCGAAATAAAATAGCAGAGATAAAAAATATTTTCAACACTCTGCTTTTGATTTTGACCACTAAGGAGAAAGTCATCCTTATTAGGACTCTTCAGCAATAAATGGAAATTCTCGACTCCAGTCTCTAATGGTGTCTGATTGTGAATCAAATTTCGATCGAACTCAATTACGGCGGGTTGAGCATGAGTAGATGCGAAAGTGGTATCGCCATCTATACTTAGTAAGCAAAATCAAAAATTACATATTGTGGATATCCACGATGGTTTGCGTTCGCGCCTAGACTTTGATATATTTAGTTGATGTCCATGGGATATTGAATACACCTTAAAAAAATTAATTTTAAATATCTGAACGGTACTATTAGCCACAATTTGCTATATAACTTCTACTAATTATGGACATTTGCATGTCTATAAATTACATTTCATGGATATAAAATAGATATCCACCATGGACTGGACATTCAGTGGATATTGGGATGTTGAGTAGATATCCAAAGGATTTGGTGTGCTGTCTGGGTAGTTGCTCTTGCGAACGCTCGTTTTCTAAAATGGTTCAAGTTAAATTAAAACTAAAGGTCTATGCCCACTACACCGGATCATACTATGACCGTGACCGTACCGGCATAGGCAGAAAAATATTCTTTGTATAGATTTAAATGAGACAATGCCCACTAGACCGGCCCGGCATCGACCACACCATCCTCATTTGAATCTATACAAAAAAAAAATCAGGTCCGGGCACGGTCATAGTATGGTACGGTATAGTGGGCATAGACCTTAAGGAGTACTATGTCACAAGAGAGACTAGATTCACACTTCTCTTTTTATTTATTGAACAGGAAAAACTGCCAATGTAAATTACGATAATGTAATAAACGAGTTTAAAGTTCTATCAGCGTCAACACGTCGAATGCGTTTATAAAATATTTCCCGTCATTAACATTTTTTATTTATTTTTTTATTATTATTACGTATTTTTATTATTATGTATTTTTCTTAGATTATTTGTTTTTTGGTTCAATAAATTATTTTATTACTAACTATATTGCGTATTTATTAAATATTTTTATTAGGAATAGGACAACAACTGTCAATAACCATCGACAGTTTAGCCTTAATGATTGTTACTGATTTGATTTTGTCATTTGGAAAAACGCGCGTTGCCTTGTTATCTAACGATCCTAACGACTTTTGGTTAGCATCAACAAAAAAACCCCTACAATAAGCTTGCGCGCTAGAGAGAAAAAACCGTTATTGCCTTTTATCTCATATCTAATTGAATCAATGCCCCACCCCCTAATGAAAAAGCCTGCCCACGCCTATGTTGATAAGAGGTTGAAAGTTTAGAAACAGAAAATACACAAATAAGATTTTTTTTAATTGAATCAGTAATTATTAGTTGTTAGTACGTACAATTTAGAACATTTTTATCGAAAAATGGTTAGTCGGAGATTATTGTTACCTGTATTGTCAGGTGTGTATTACTATTACATTACAATGTTATCAATACGTTTCGTTTTTATTTTAGTGTCAATTACTTTCTATCTAAATTTATTTAAAATTTTGGTTTTTACTCCAATTTAATACATTTTTTTGGTGATTTCAGGTAACATTCTCATGTTAGTGTCCGGTGCATTTAAAGTTTGGCCTGTAGCATATTTGCAGACAATTTTTAAAAGTGATTATGTTGGTATGGCTCTTATGTTTGAATTAATGGGTAAAATAATAGGGTCAATAATATTTCCATTATTAGCGGAACTGATAGGAAGAAAATATAGTTTACTTTTAATGACTTTTCCGGCAGTCTTTAGTCTAATTATTTCTGAATTCTTTTATGGCATTTTATTTTTATTCTGCACAGCGAGAGTATTTTCTGGTATGATTGTTGGAGGTAGTTTCGCTGTATTACCGATTTACATTGCAGAAATCAGTGAAACTAAGTCTAAAGGAAGTCTCATAGCATCAATGTTTATATTTTATAATATTGGAGGAGAAATTTTCATTCCATTACTGACGGGTATCACATACGATTCGTCTGTTTTAGTGAGTTTATGTATTATAGTTTTAGCTATAGCTTATTGTATTACATTTGCATTAATAGCTCCGGAGACTCCATATTATTATTTAAAAAAAGGACGCCATAATGTTGCAAAAATAGTTCTTAACAAGTTAAGGGCAGCAAATATAAATACAGATATTGAACTTATTGAAATGCAAGGCCACGTCAATCAGAATGGACAAAATGCTCAAGAAAACGAAAGAGTTATCGTATGTGTACGAGGTCCAGGATGGGTCAAAAGTGGAATTATGATGTTTGGTATTTTGGTATCACAAATTGTGATTTCAGTTGGCGTATACGAGACAAATATATTCACATTTATTATGCATGAAATGTATAATCCTTCACTTATTATAGGTAAGTCAGAATTCAAAAATGATTAAATTAAAAAATAATTTCAATGCAATCTCAAATGTACTCTATTTAGGGTATTTACATGACTTTAATTTTATTCAAATTATATACAACATATAAAAATTAATATTTTAGAATTTTTGAAATCCCAAAAAAGGCCAAAATGTGTTAAAAAATCTGCACATAAGATTACTTTCGTTACATTAGTAATAGTAAATTTTATTCAGAACTACGCTTATATCTGCTTCCGAGTCTATTAAAATTTCTAAATTTTTTATTTTATCGAAAAGAAATAGTCACCTAGGCTACCTAATGTCGTTAATTATAAATTCCAAAACGGAACTTTTATTTTTTTAAATTTTATTAAGTCAAAATACACTTAAAGGGATATCTAAGATAACTCTGGACTAAAGCCTATACTAAAGCTACCTCAAATAACAACAATAATAAGGTTTTACTCCTATTTATAAAGTTAAAATGATTATCCCTAATAGCACAGTATTGTTACACGAACGTTCCAGAAACATACCCTTGGGACATTAGAAACGTCTCTGTCATGTTTCTTATTCTCCCTCAAACGTACCTAGGATGTTTCTGGCAATGACCATGTCATCATTTGTAACGTATTAGGAACGTTTCTCAGAGACGTTTGTGGAACATCCTGCGATGTTGCTCAAACATCTTAGGTAAGTTTTTTATACTATTGCTGGAACGTTCTAGAAATGACCATAATGTTTTTTAGTAGGATAATCAAATCAATTACTTTTTTTCATAAATTTAATTGAAAAAAAAAATTTTTTTGACACAAAAGATAAAAAATGTTAATTATTACGCTCCGATTCATTGCGTCTATTTCTTTCCAGAGCCCTCCACAACCAGTCATCTATTTTAATTTCCATTTCTTTTTTGTTTACCAATTTACCGAATCTGAAAATGTTTCAATTAAGTGATAATATAAACAATTGATATTAGGTTGAAATAATTACCCATAATGGCTTCAGCTATTTTTAACTTGGCGTCTCCCTTTTTCCAGTGAATGAAAACAACTTACAAAACTCGTTCCTTGAGGGGAACGATTGCTTTTGCATTTGCCAAGCCTGATTAACCTTGAATTGGAAGTGATTTTTCATGTAGCTTTACGTAAAAACTATACAGTCGTTGCTTGGTCTTCTCTTGTTGTCATGGCATTATTAATTATTTGTTCATGTATGTGAAATTTGCTTCTAAGGTTTATAAAATACTACTGCTAGTCACGGCGTAAATGAAAACAAACAAGACACATTCACACAAACACCTCCCACCACAGCAATTACAAATTATTAGTGTTGTCCACGATACGCGAGTATTATTATGGGCCTCCTCCCGAGGAATCGCCTTTTTGATCGTAACTAATGTAGATGACGTTTCGCGTGTATATAATTTTTTGATTTGTGTACACGTTAGCGTGTACCTAGTCACAGCGAATGTTAAAATGTTGCAGAACACTTTTTATTTTGTTATATATATTAAATTGATCGAACCTTAATTTCAAAATTTTATTTTAGGTGTAGCTGCTCTGTTGATTTGCTGTATTTCTACCGCTTTAGTTGACAAAATTGGAAGAAAATTGTTAATGATGATATTTTATGGAGGAATCGCTGTATCTGCAGCAACATTTATAATATTATTTAGATTCATACCGGTGGAGAATGTGAATGCTTATCTTTTACCAACAATAATTTTAATCGGAAGTCAATATTCTCTTTTCATTTTACAAACAATTTTATTGGCTGAATTGTTTCCATTAAAAATAAAAATGATAAGTTCAGCTTTATTTACATCTCTTTATTTTAGTTCAGACATAGTGATACATTTACTAATGGTCATATCGAGTTTTTTTAAATATTTTCTTGTTGTATTAATTAGTATTGGAATGTTACCTATAGTACGATTTTTTTATCTTGAGACCAGAGGAAAAAGTTTACAAAGAATTCAGTCAATATTAAACAAGAAGTAGATTTAAAATTTTGCATACACAACGTAGAAATAACACGTGCGCGAGGCTTGGTAGCATATTTTTTATTTTTATATTGCATTAATTATTAATTAAATTGTATTTAGGTTGATTTAGGAGTAAATAAATTTTGTGTATGACCAGTGTGTCAATTTTTTTAATTTTAATTCTAATCTCATTAGTAATTTAGTATATCACAAGAAAAGAGGGTTATTTGGAATAAAAATATTAATAATATTTACGCATTATTTAAACAACTGAACTTTATAGCTGCATAGCCCTAATTTACAATTACAAAAATGTATTGAAGTCATAAAGCATAAATTATAAGACTAATAATAAAACTATTCTTAAATGAGCATACAGGTTCTTTTAAAAAACATGTGACATTTATTGACAATTTATTGTTGAACTGTTTACCTTAGATATTTGACTAAGTTTAGAATATCTACAAAAAATATTTCAGTGATAATTATAAAACTTAAGTCCACTTTTGTCACCCTACTTAGAGAATAACGCTGGTAATATGTCTGATCATTATTCTCATATGTGATAACAACATAATGTAATGCGAGCCATTTCATTATTCAATCATGCTCTAATCCTCCAAGTCCCTCTCTGTCTTATTTGACCTTTGATGAAAATTATTATGAACTTTTTTCGTTTAATTTCATTAGTACATGTTGGTAAATTTCGATTTAGTTAAAACTATAATTTGAGGTCTGATAGTCATTCTACCACTGCATTTGGCAGTGTTTTGAAATTTCGATTAGAATATGTCCAAACGTTTTGCTAAAATTAACAATTTATTGTTGTATCAATTATTATTTCTTTGTGTTTGAATAAACCGCGGTTCGCTTAAAGCTCTTCTTTTTTTATTTTGCTCTTTCTTATTCAGCCTCTAACTGGCAAGTCAATCAGCCAGTGTAGTTAAAAAAAATCCGTTCCCTACTCAGCACTATTTGTTTCCAAAAATTAACACGGGATCCGACTATCTTCTTGGGCTATCCTGTTTCCTGTTTAATAGTAGGTCTTTTCCTTTGCATCGACAGTGTAGCACCCCAGTATAAAGAACAATACTGGGGTAGCACTGAGCTACGTTACTTCTGAAAATGTCGTTCCATCCATACAATTTGTATAAATGGAACGATATTTTCAGAAGTGGTGTAGCTCAGTGCTACACTTTCGATGCAAAGGAAAAGACAAGGCCCGTATTTATAAACAGAACTTACGTGAGTCGGACTTGGGTAAGTCGTCCTTGAACTAAAATCAAAGTTCGGTTACAACGTCTCTAAAGTTCTAGGTGGTTCTGGTGTTCAACTGGAATTTAGAGATGGGTATTAGCAAATATGTAACTATTATGTACATTTACGGATTTGTTACTACCCATCTCTAAATGCACGCGATATAACCGAACTTCGATTTTCGTTCAAGGACGACTTACCCAAGTCCGACTCAGCTGAGTTTTGTTTATAAATACGGGCCCTAGTGTGATCCTCCTTGCTCGGAGGTGTGATCTTCCTCCATGGTGTGATCCTTTGACCCGGATAACGAACGTCAAACCAGAGTTAAGTGTTCTGTGGTCAAACCGTCAAACGTCAAATAAAAGTCAAACTGCAATTGTCAAGTATAAACATTTTTATTTTAAACTTTATTTTTTAGGAAATATTTAAGATTTTGTACTATTTACTATTAGTGCCTACAGTGAGTCAGGTTTCAAAATGAAGCCTAAATTCAGCACTGGATATCTTACTCCTCAGACAAATCGGAAGAAAACCATACCAAAACTGAAACGTTCAGATTCAGAATCAAATGAGTTTTTAAATTTTAATTTTGGCGAAGTGAGTGAAGATGTTTTGAAGAAACTTATGAGGTGTCCAATAAAAAAACAATTAATTATTGATCTTATTACGTCCGAAAAAGATAAAATTGAGGAATACAAAAAGGAACTTGAGAAACAAAATGATTTATCAATGTCCAGATCTCTTCAAAAAGTATTGAAAAAACCTGCTGAAAGTCCAACTGCCTTGTTAAGAAGAAGATTAGGACAACATCAAAATGCTTCAACAAATAAAGGTACGGTTTTTAGTTACTTATTGCTAGTTGAAATTTTTATACACAAAAATATATGATTTTTAACAGGAAAACAAATATAGTATATCTGTATAGAATACAACAAGGCCAAGCACAATTCAGAAGATCTTCTATAAGTTGTGAATTTTTTGTTACAGAAGATTATTGCATTTGTCAATGTAATTGTTGGTTCTTTTTTAAAAAGCCATAATGTTGTTTATCTTATTTATTTAAACTATAATTTTTATTTCTATAGATTGGGTTATACGTCTATTCTCTATTTGAATTTAAAGACATTTAAATAAAGAATAAAGATCCAGTAACGTCTTCTTAGCATGCTACAATGAATTGCAAAAGTTGTTCTTATGGTCCTTCCATTTTGCTAAAACAGTGGTTCAATCAACCTTAACAGACCAAACAAGAAAAATTTATCTATTAAACACCAGATACTTAGAACTTTGCAGTCATTCCACTACAAAGTTATTCGAAAATTTTGAACCATTAGCAGAACTCAATAAATAGTTGAAGGGTACAAGGGACTAAATTCAATTACAAAAATGTTAGGGAAAGAAAATTTAAAGTTTGAAGACAGACTAAATACAAACTTTTGATACTTTGAGGTACATAATTGATTACAACCATGAATTGGGGTTATTAACAAATAAATTCAAACAAAATAAATTAAAAATTAATGAGATGAAATCAAAATTTATGTTCTTTGGTAACAACTTTCTATACAATAGATTTTTGAATTTAAATTTAGACATTAAAATAAATAACGAAACAGTAGAAATGGTCCAAGAAATAAAGCATTTAGGAGTTATGTTGGATAAAGAACTAAAATTTAATAAACACATTGATTATATCTGGAAAAAGTAGGAAAAAAATAGGATTTTTACGAAGAGTGTCACCATATCTATCAATTTAAACTAAATTGACTGTATATAATACACTTATTCTACCTCATTTTTACTATTGCTGTTCTTTAATATACCTATACAGGATGTTCCAATTTTGATAGACTACAGGTGCTACAAAACAAAGTGATGCGAATTATACTAGGTTGTGACAAATATACCAGTATTCAGTTTATGTTAGACGCCTTAAATTGGCTAAGTATTGAAAAACTACTATATGTACACACAATGGCTTTTATATGTAAAATAATAAACAATTTGTTGCCTGAATATCTTAACTGTCAACTAATCCCAGTCACAGAAATATATCAAAGAAACAGGAGCAGCAAACTCTATAAAATTTTATGTACAAACAACTAATAAAAGTAGTTCTATGAAAAGCTTGTTTCATAAAGGGATCGATCAATTCAATCATCTGCCTCAAAATTTTAAAAATGTTCAGAATCCTAGTCAATTTAAGAAAGAACTTATTATTTATGTTAAAAATAATTTATGGATTATATAGTTGAAAATTGTTCTTTTTCTCTTTTCTTTTCTTTTACTTGTTACTTTTAACCAGTCTGTTATGTTAAACACCTACATCACTGTTTCTTTTATTCGTTTGTTTTTTCTCTTTTTTATTTATTATATGTATGTATTATATGTATGAGGGACAATAATGTTATGTTAAGTTTTATGTTTATTTTGAATTAATTATCAAGTTCATGTTTATATTGAATTGTTGGTTTATTTTGAATTATTGTATGATATTATTTTGTCATTTATTTGATACAAATACATTTCATACAATTAAAAATTAAATTAACATAATAATCAAATTATAATTAAAGTTAAAGCACCTAGGTGCAAGCACCTGTATGTGCTAAAGTAAAGTAATAGCATAGTAATATACACATTTATACTTATAGTATACATACATATTATATACATAGTTTTAAAATATCTGTAATAAGAATACAAAATTATCTAGAGTACATCTCCATATGCACCAATATTAGAAGTGATATACTGTTTTGATTTCTTCTGAAATAATTTTAAATTTTTTATGTTCCTCACATTGACAGGTAAGGTGTTAAAGATTTTGGGAGCAACATAAGTTACAAATCTTTGACTTGTATCTCGCTGAACTGCTGGAGTTCTCAGATTCTCATTTAATCTGGATCTTTGCAGTATGGCTTTCTATAAATAAAAGTACAACAACAATGATAATATAATGTTCTTATATTAAGCACTTGTTGTTATATAAGAGAGAGGTAGGATATAATGTCGATTTTTTGTAAATAATTTTGATGGTACGATTTTGGATTACATTAAGAGGTTGAAGTGCTATATCATATAAACCACCCTATATTATTAAGCCATATCGGAAAATAGATTCAACCAACGAATTGTAAATAGTAATTAGTAGACTCCTAGTCATAAATTTACTTAACTCTTAAAATTTAAAAATAAATCTTCCAACCTTGGTTGTTAATGATTGAATGTGCTCACTCCATTTCAAATTTTGGTTTATTATTATACTGAGGTATTTTGTTGTATTGTTCATTCTAATTAGAAAGTTTTCATTTATTTTTATGTCAAAAGAAGGCCTGTTAACGTGAATGCTAGAAAGGAGGTTTTAGAGACATTAAAGGTGGATTCATAAACTACGTTCAGTTCACGCTCAGTTCGAGTTCAACATAAACAGAGCAAAATGACACGGTAAGTATGTTTTGGATAAGAAGTTATAAAGGGATTCATAATTATTTTATAACCAACACCATCTACCAATATAATTAAAACAAAAATAACACCAAAAAATAATTTTATTATGTCTTGCCAACTGCAACTGAGCGCGAACTGAACGTAGTTTATGAAACCACCTTTAAAGAGAGTTTATGAAAATCAAGCCAGTTTTTAATAGTACTTATACCCGTTTTGGCTTTTTCTTTGACTGCTTCCCAGCTACTATCCTCGAATACAATGACAGTATCATCTGCATATGAGATTATTGCACCATTTATTTGTAATTTTAACATAGTATTGATATAAATGATAAATAAAATTGGACCAAGAACTGTTCCCTGGGGCACTCCCATTTGAACGATTTCCGGTTCGCTTAAGATATTTTTTATTCTCACCATTTGTTTTCTGTTTAACAAATAGTTTTTGAAAAGATCTAATACAGTGCCCCTCACTCCATACTGTTGTAAAGTGTTAAGGAGAAATTGATGAGGCACTGTATCAAATGCCAAGAACACTGCAATACATTTATCACCCTTCCTTATCCAAAGTAAGTTTGATCCAGTTAACAAGTTCAAACATTGCATCGTTAGTGCTAAACCCTGTTTTAAACCCAAACTGCTTTTCACTGAGAATGTTATTTTTGTGTAGATAGTCATACAAACGTACTTTAATGCATTTTTCAAAAATTTTAGCAAATGTGTTTATAAGACTAATAGGTCTATAATTAGCTATGTTGTTTTTATTTCCATTTTTATATATAGGTACAACTATTGAAATTTTAAACTGTTCAGGTATAATGCCGGTCAGAAATATTAGATTTATTATATGTGTAAGTGGGTATAAAAAATTATTATATTTATTTTTAATCATTTTTGTTGTGATGTTATCAATTCCTGGTGACCTACCGTTTTTTAAACTTTTGATGTGTGACGCAATTTCGTTTTTATCAATTGGTTTTAGAAAGCAAGAGTCTTTGATATATGGATAATTTATTTTAAACTTGTCTGATGGTTTCTCAATTGTTTCTACCAACTTCAATATAGTATTTATTACAAAAATCAACCATTTCTTTAACAGTGGTAAAAGTGTCATGGGTTTTGTGATTTTTAATAACAATTTCTTCATTAGATTTATTAGTTTTTTCATTTATAGCTTCTTTTACTGTACTGTACATTTTTTTAATATTTTTTGTGTTTTCAATAATATTGGCATAATTGAGTTTATTATACCATTAGTTATCCAGGGTTTTACTTTTTTGTGTTCTTTTATTGTAATTGTTGAGGTGGTTGTGCACCGATTTATTAAGTTGGTAACTATTTCAGAAAACATTATAAGCTTCTGCAGGGTTTTTGTTAGAAATAGTTTTTGACCACTCAATAGTTGAAATTAAATTTGAAAATTGTTATCTTCAAATTTTTTAATATGTTTGTAGATTAATTTACTGTCTGATGTTTTCTACTCTTTATGATTTATTAGCTTTGTTCGCGGTAAGAATCCTGAACCGAATTATTACTAACAGTAACGATTTCGCAGGCGCAGTAGTTAAAAAGCGTTCGCGGAACAAAAAGAACTGAACTATTGGTTCTATCCTGCGTTCGCGGTAAAATAATTATTGGTTTTGAACCGCTTGTCTATACCTGTAACACTGAGATATAATAGGGATTGCGCGCGCGGTAAAAATTCAGAATTGATAATGATTCGGGCATGCGCTCAAAGTATAAATTAGTAATTCTGAATCAGTTCAGGATTGTTACCGCGAACGAAGCTAATGAGAAATAAATAGGAAAGTGATCAGTTAAGTTATAATTTACAACAGATGCTTTGTTTATGAATTTAGTGACTGTTGATTTTTTCCTTACAAAAATATGATCCAAGCATGATGCAGATGTTGGGGTCACTCTTGTATAAATATTTATATGAGATTCAAAACCATGGGATAGTAGCATTGCTATGTAATTATTACTGGACGCATCTGAGTAGTCTAATATATCATAATTTAAATCTCCAATTATTATATCAAAGTCATTTCTGTTTATATCACATAAAAATTTATCTAAATCTTCGACAAACAGTTTTTCATTTGTGGCTGGCGATCTGTAACAAGCCATAATGTTAAGGCTGGTGTTATCTATATTTAATGTTAAAAGTGATATTGTTACCTGAGACTGATTAAGGTTTAAAGTGGTTTATGTTAAAATTAAGGTTTCTATGTACAAAAATTAAGACACCATCACATTGATTTAGTGAGCTGTTATTAAAAATGGTATTAAAGCCTGGTATCATGAAGTCTGAATTTGAATGAATGAATCGTGTTTCTCCAAGTATTATCACGTCAATTTCATTCAGGTTGCAAGTTGTTAAAAATATTAAGAATTCATCAAAATTTTTGTATATACTTCTAATATTTATATGCAAAATCCTAAAAAATGAAGAATGTTTAGAAATACTTACAATTTTAGTGAACTGTTTTATATCATCTAAATTCATGTTTTTTTCATCAACATTTTCTTTCTCAAGTTCCGTTAAAATGATATCCTCTCCAATTTCCATAAATTTAAGAAGTTAAGATATAGGAAGCAAATAAATTGGTTAGAAAAATTCACTTAAGAAAACATATAACTATACAGTCATATAATCTGTTTTGTTCTCTAAGGGGGTTATGATTGACAACCTGTGTTATTTTTAACAGGTCTGTTATTTTATAAACACACAGAAATAGCCACTTGTTCACATATAACGGGTCTGTTAAAAATAACATTATTTGTCCATCATAATCCCGAAAGTCGCTGAACATGATAGTTAAGAGAAGGACACTGCCTACTATCACATCCATGACTGGTATCATATTTTGTTTTATATTTCAGATTCGACATAACACAATTTTTACATGATAATATATTATTTGAACAATCACTTTTTTGGTGCTCTTCAGAACAATTTGGACATACAATTTTATGGATGCAGTTTTCCTTCTTATGAAAATATCCTTAACAGTTGTAACACTTGGGTATAGTTAGATCTTCAAAAACGCTATTCCTTTCCCATCAAATACAGATTTTTTTCTTATTCATGATTTGGTTAAATGCTATAGGTGAACATTCACAGAAAATTGTTTTAGTGTTGTCTCTAGTTTTCCTTTTGATATATGTGACTTTGATATCTCCTTCTATATTGTTTTGTTATTTTATTGAATTTTCAATTTCCAAGTTTGACATATTTTGTGTGAAATTTACTATTGTTATTCTAGGTAGCTTCATTTTTGTAAATTCTATTTCATAGTTTTTAGGTAATTTATTCTCAATTTCATTTTTTAATTTTACAGTTTCACTTTTTGATTGACATTTTATTATAACTGCACCTTTATTTATTTTTTTAACGTTTGATACTTCTAATTTTAGATCGACGGGATTAATTTTTGAGTTAATTCTTTTATAGTTTCATCGGACGACGGGTCATTTTTCTGTCTTATAATTACTTTAGGATAGTTTTCACATTTTCTTTTTTTGTAATATTAGCATATGTAGTAGTATTTACCTGTTTTTTTTTAGGTTAGCTATTTTTTCATTTAATAACTTAATTATAATTTCCTAATCTTCAATTATCTTTGTTTTATCCTGTACTTATGATATTTTCCAATAATTTTGCATGCTCAACTTTTTTGCAGCTGTTACAATGGAATTTCAGGTTACGTTTATCTTGGATAAATAAAGTTACTTATTATTATTATATATAATATGCTGCCTGATTATATTTTAGTTTATCACTTAATTTACTAGACGATGTTTATTTTTTAATCTTAATACTGAAAGTGCCAAACAAACAGTAGAAAAAGGGTGCTAAGTCCTTGGACTTAGCTCATTCTTATATTGCTTGTAGTTTGTATAGTAGTTAGGCACATTCATCATCGTAAGTTATTTGTACGTAGTTTGATGTTTTTTGTTTTATTATTCAAGTTATTATTGACTTTGAATATCAACTCCATTTTTCATGATTAACGTAGATATAGGCAACACATTATACACTACTCACCACAAATTTTCAGTTGTTATATGCATTTCTTGAAATAATGTGATTGTAGAAAAAATCTTGTGTGCATTTTGAACAAAAAGTACGTTGCCGCTTTTGACAGATCGCCGCTCTCCGCTACGCGTTGCGCAACCTACTCTCTGTCTCAAGCGGCAAAGTATCACTTTTCGCTCTTAATACACAAATAGCCTATTGCGGCATCATCCCCTTATAAAACTTGATTTTTCCTGAAAATTTTAATTTGATATCGTTTTTTGTTTATGAGTTAGAAATATTTTTCAATACTTCTACCCTCCTTCCCATTTTTATTTATTTATCCATTCCCTCATAGAGCTTGATTTTTACTAAACATTTCATGTTAATATCTCTTTTCGTTTTTGATTTACGATTTTTTTTTAATTTCAACCCCCCTCAAACGCCTCTTTTTAATCAGATTAATTTCAAAATCAAAGGGCTTCTTCCCCTAATAGAGCTTGATTTTTCCTAAAAATTTCAACTTGATATTTTTCTTTTTTTAATATTTTAATCCCTTCTTGGCCACCTAATTTATTTAATTTTTTTTAAAATCAATAGGCTTCATCTTCTTATATAGCTTTATTTTTACTAAAAAATTCAAGTTTTTAATTTTTCAAACGCCCTTAACCCCTATTATAATCAGATTTTTTAAAGTTGATATAATTTTTCGTTTTGAGTTACGATCTTTTAAATATATCAACACCTCTTAACTCCCTCATTTTTATTCATATTTTTTTGCTTTTGATTTATCGTGCAGACAAAAACTGGACATAAGACACAAACTACTGTGTGAAGAGTATAAAAAATACCATTTTATACCTACCTATGTGAATTTTGATGTTTATAAATAAATATTATGTTTTTGAAGACTCAGACAGTTCAAGTTCCAGCCGACCTGAATCTAGACAATCAATGGCTTCTACTGTTCCATCCCCCATAAGTTTTGAGAAAATACTGGAGGGAGTTATAGCATTTGTTGAGGTCAAAAGTGGAGAACGAGATAGATCTGATGCTGTAAAAGCTATTTTGACATCTATGGGTGCTACTGTAAGGGATAAATTTACAAAAGATATTACCCATGTAATTTTCAAGGTATTTATTTTAATTTTTTACTACATGTAACTTTTCAAATAAATTTTTGTATACTATTCTGACTACACAGATCACCCTAGATTAGTAAAATGTTCATATCCTGCGAGCGTATTTAATATTTTAGCAGTTTACCTATATTAATATCTTGGCACTACATTCATTTAATAAATAACCAATGTAATAATAAAAGGTGTTTATTTTGTAATCCTCTGCGCACTTCTGCTAGTAACTGTTCTACTCAACTGAATACCAATATACAAAGTTAAAATACAATATACAATACAATTTACAATATGTGATGTACATAAGTGGAATTAATACATTTTACATTTTTTCTTATACTATAGTTTATTTGAAAATGCATGATAGCACAGTTTCTATGGCAAAGGTCTATATTTTTATATAATTTTTAAACAAACTATAAGAAAGAAAATAAAATAAAAATAATAGGTAATCCCAAATCTACAGAGTTACAATTGTTATAGAGGGCCAAGGAAGAGATATCAATGAAGAACACAGATTGATAAACTGAATGATTATTTGTTATTATAACACAATGAACTTGTGAAAAATCGAAAAAACAGTTGAAAACACAAACAGACATATTAATTCATTTAACTTTTCGTACACAAGTCCAGACCCGGATTTAGATTTTTTTAATTCTGTCTATCTTATTTTTAAGTTTTTTGAAAAAGTGATTCGAATAGGATGTTTATTTTAACGACTTCTATACACAGCAAAAGAAGTATCAACCTTGGATTCACCCTGTATATAAAAGAACTAGGAAATTAAGAGAAGTGTGATATTTAATTTTATTGGGTATAGTATACAGGGCGTTTCTTAACGATATGCGTATATTTAAAGGTGTGAATCCACATTAGAAATTAATGATAGTTTGCTTTGTCCATAAAATGTTCCATTGAAAAAATACAGGATGCTAAAGTTTTAAGAAAAAATAAAGGAAATTAATATTTTTGAAACCACTTGATATTAGTTATATTAAGTACTCAGTGAGAGTTACTAAAGGTGCATATTTTTCAAAACAAAAATAGCACATGCTGACAAAAAAAAATTGTAACATAAAGCTGAGTAACATATTGTAGTAAAATGAATCTATTCAAATATGAAAATAGCAAAATTAAAGTTGTAACACGTAAGGCTTTCTTGATACATTACACAAACAAGATGTAGATCAAACGATAGGTACCATTTAATATTGAAAAAATTATTTAATTGTAAGTTTTTTAACCCTGTATATTGACTATATTTATAATTCATATAATAATAATAATAATAATAATACTCTCCCTAATTCACCCCCTTACGAGTGAATTTCAACCCCTGAAGTCGACTGAACGACTTGTGTAGGGGAAGGGACGGCTATTATTATTATTATTTGCCGTGGCGCTCCGGGGCGACTTAAAGATGATTGATGGTGCCATTTGACTTACAGGTGAGGAAAACCCGGAAAACCTCACCCACCATCATGTTAAATTGACATTTAAGAAAAAACTTCAGAGATATTAATTTGAAACATACTGATTCTATTTTTTCCTTGTATGGGGGGCCACAACTTCTCTCTTCAAAAACCAACAGTATTCACCCATCATGCCTGGGTCCCATTGTCCTTGGTACCGAATTACCGTTGTCCTTATTATGTCTTGATGTAATCTTTCATCCTGCTTGTCGCTAACAGCACCCAAATTCTTAGGTTAAAATGATAAATGGGAATGGAGAGAGTTAATTTTTAATGAAATTTGGTAACCAAGCGATTTGTAAGAGTTTGTAAGTTCAGTAAGTAGTTGTTCTTAGTTTGCAATCATATTGTTGCCTAAAAATCCTCTCACTACACTTACAAATGAGTTCCAAGCTCCGAATTCTTGCGTGGTGAGTTTTTAAAATTAACATCGTCCAATAATTTTCTAATTTGTGACCCAATAAAAATGCATTCTTTTAGTTTGGCGTTACTTAACTGGGGAAAGACTTGTCTTAGGTATTTAAATCCATCACCCTCTTTCCTTAGAGCCTTCACAAATCTTTTGTTAGTCCAAGTTTAATGTGGAGAGGAGGTAAAAGGACATTTTTTGGGTCTAAAAGGGACACATACTTAACATTTTGAGATCCCTGTTGAAATTTCCGATTAAATTTTAGTTCCATAATGTTCATTCACTGCACGACTGTCTCACAAACAAAGAATAATAGCAAAGCAATAAGAAAATTAAGTTTAATGTTATGAACAATCCATTTTAGGTTATTTTTCTGTTTTAGAATGCACCACTTTTAAATGACCCCTCATAAAATGTAGTACCTTTTGATATACGAGTCTATTGGACGTATTAGGACTTTATGAACATGTTTTCTATTAGGAAAGTATTATCAGTGTGAAAATAATGGACTGAACAAAAATCGTGTCGGCCAGTGTAATTTTCAGCTTTAACAGTAGCGTGCGTACAAGCACTGACTTCGATATTAAAAAAAATGGTATGCCTATTGTTTTCTTTTTTTTTTTTTCAAATAAACATTTTTTAATTTCCCGTTCAATTTGGAATATAAGAGCTCTCCTGAGTTGTTTTCCTACGATGCGCCGTTTTTGAGTAAAACAAAATAATAAAAACCATTGTGCCCGAGAAAATTAAGGTCATATTGAAAAACATAATTTTGCAATAAATTTAGTTGCCCTTTATTAATTGACACTAAAATTACTGAAATATCTAAAGTCGTTTCGAATTATTTTCCTTAAAAAATATTTTACCTCTCCGTATTTTTGGACCATATTTTATAAAGAAAACTCATTAATGTTTCATGTAGATTCAAACACTTAAATATTCGCATATAATTAACAGTGGCAGCTTGAAACCAAAATATTTGGGGTTTACAATGACAGAATATAGGTCTGAATACATTTGTACAGTGTTTTCGAAAGGTATAGTATACTTGAGGGGTATAGTTTCAAAGTGTACAATCTCCATATTTTATAAAAAATAAGATAGATGTCGCATTACATAGAATTTGTAGCCCTGAATTGAAATAATTAATAATTTCTTTTCAAAACATAATCTCCAACGAATTTTGACGGCAGAAAATTAGACTTAAATTCAAAACGACAATCTCCGTTGACATTTAAGTTTCAAACCGTTCAATCTTCAATCTCATTTTAAAAATCAAGTTGTACAATCTCAAATGAGTTTTTGTTGTTAGTTTTGAATTATTTCAAAGCGTGCAAACTCCTGTACAGACTTGTCAATAATATTACGCGCTAAAACCAGTCTGATTTTACGTTTCTAAGTTAGTTGCATGTGATTCGTGAAGAAATAAAGTTTGTTTACTAGTTTTTTTCCAATTTTTTTTTTAAAGTAATAATGGAGGTGAACGTTACTCCAGTAACCAGTAATAAAGCAAGAAAAGACAACGTATTACGGCGACGTGGAAAAGAACTCAGCAAAAAAAAGGTAAGTTTGATAGAAGGTTTTTGTATATCTGTCTGCAAAGATGGGTTTGTTTTAGATATAGTCCACATTCGCTTCCAATTTATCCGAAATGTGGACATAAAACTGATGCTTTTCATTGTACCTTACTGACAATGGGAGAAATAAGACAGTTTCATTCAAAATTTCATGAGACAAAAGAGAAAATATTTCAAGATAATTTTTTGCTTAAATATTACAAAACATTTCCGATACAATGTAAACGCCCGAAAAATTCTAAGAATGTCTTAAAAAAAATTTCAAACACGGTGTTATATCTTGATGAAACAAAAACAAATGTTGGCTGTGTGCAAGGAAGCTTTCATGGATGTTTTGGGTATAGCACGGAGACTAATTGACACAGTTACAAAGAACTTTGATCAAACTTCTCGACCTGCAAAGGAAAATCGTGGAGGCGATAGAAAGCTGGAAAATTACAAGTCGAAGAAAAATGCTGTTATGGATTTATTTTTAACAAATTTCATGTATATGAATCTCATTATTGTAGAGGACAAAGCCAACGACTGTACCTGAATTCTTCTTTAAATATAAAGTCAATGTGGAGAATGTATGTGAAGGAAAATGAAAACTTTCCAGTAAAAGAAAGCCATTTCAGGAATATTTTTAATACAAAATACAACCTTGGTTTTGGTTCTCCTAGAACCGATGTTTGTTCGACTGCTTACAGTTAAAAAAAAAATGAAGTGATATTCCCAGTTAGAGGACACTCTTTTATGCCCCCAGACAGGGTTTTTTGGGCATATTGAAAAGACCTATTAAAAATAAGAAATAATTCTGGAAACGGAGGAATATCTGGATATATTTTCAAAGTATGGTACTGTTCTTAGGGTTGGAGAAGTAGTTGAAATATACAATTGGCGAAATGAAACTAGCAAGTACATTAAGCCTCTAGGCCAATGGCATTTTGCTTTCTCAAAAATGAAGAGAAACAAAAAGCTCTAAAGGCACAGTACTAATCCGCGGCGAAATAGCCTATAATTCGGATTCTGGTATGGGAAAACCAGTAACAAAAAAGACTAAGAGTATTGAAAATATGAAACCTTCACAAATTCCGAAACAAAATGTGGTCAACAACAACAAAAAGGTTGATGTTAATAATTTGTTAGTGTGTCATTTCGGAGATGAGTGGAAAATGATCCACGTCTACAAATTCGTCGTAGAAGAGGACACGGTTACAGAAAATGAAACAGTCAAGGATGAAACGATGTTGTCTGAGAATATCGAAGAGGAGGTGGAACTTTCTATTTAATTTTGATTTTTTCTAAGCTCAACCCACTATTTATTTCTTCTTTTAATTTTTTTTTGACTGAATTTAATGTTTTTTTTTTTCATTTTTTATAATGAATAAAAATTTAAAAATTAATGAAAAATGATGTTATTTTCAAAGTGGACAAACTCCATATTAGTTATTTTCAAAATGAACAAACTCCAAATGTTACTTGCATAAGGTACAATCTCCAAATATTTTTTCAAAATAACTTTAAAACTTTTATGGAAAAAATTGGTATAATAACTCTTAGATATGATATAAATACAATAAAAAATAAAAAGTACCTTAATTGTTTGTATTTAAGAAATTCTAAATTATTTCGTCTACTGAGAATTTAGGAAACATGGAGATTGTACACTTTGAAACTATACCCCTCGCTTTATAATAAACACTGAAATTTTTGAGACCTATATTCTGTCATTGTGAACCCCCAATAGTTTGGTCAGAAGCCGCCAACGACTATTAAGGAAAACCCTATATAGTCAGGTGAAAAGGTATAAGTGTCAGGCTTGTTCATGACTCATCTGGCTTCTTCTAAATTCATGCTTAATAAGCAAATGCCTTTGTCCCTTTTAATTGCAAAATGCAAAGTCTAAGGTTGAATATTTTTTTAGGATGGTTCTTTTACAACATATCAAAAAGCAAATTTAGTCAGATCAAAGTTAGTGTCTGTACTATGGTTAGAGGCTTGCAAGTCCAGTGGCATAAGAGTACCAGAAAAAAATTATCCAGCTATTTCAGCTGTTGGCGTTAATCCTTCTTATGAACACAATCAAACCATTTTATGTTCTGTAAGTATTATTTTAATAATAATGTAGGTATTTTTTTATATTTATGATATTTGTTAGCAAATGCAAAAGGATTATGAAGAAATCATACGTGAAGAATTTAATAAAAGCATAGCAATTGGGGAACCTTTACCATCTGTCAAATCTGTAATAGATAAGAGAAGAACAATAATGACACCAAATATATCAATGGCTAACGACTTCTCAAAAGCGTCTCAATTGGATTTACACGATCAAGAAGTAGCGAATATCATGAGAAGAACAATTCATGGTCCTTTTAATAATTTTACACCAGAATCACCCTTTGATAAACAATCTGATACGAGACCTGTCATTGATGGTGATACTGATAAACAATCCGACACAGGACCTATCATAGATGGTGACACTGATGAAGATATCTTTAAAGAATATAGCATTCATGAACTTCAACAAAAAACTTCTACTGTACCTGAAGACATGGATTTGACTGATGGTATTTTTGAAAAGTCAAAAGAAAATACTCCTCCTAGAAAGTCTATCAATTTTTACAACAAAAAAACCCCTAAAATAAATAAAACTGCCACAAATGCTGTTAATCATAGTGAATCTCCTACATTGCTTGATAATATATACAAAAGGAAAACGGAGTTATTTGAAAGAAGCCCTGAACTAAGTATGGCTTTGAATACTGAATTGACACCAAGAACGCTACGCATCTTTAGAAAAAATGCCACTCTTGTTACACCCAATAAGACAACGGATGATAGTCCTAAAAGAAAAGACGACGTTTTATCTACAAAAACTGTTGAAACTGAAAAACGTACATACTTTAATACTGTAGACGAATTGATATCGGTTTTACAACCTTCAGACAAATCCGAAGATAAAACAACAAGCACTGCAATGTCTTCATTACGAGTATCTAATAATGCCGATAAAACCAATTCAAACCTAATCTCCAGCAAAAATAATAGTTTCATTTCTAATAAAAATTCGTTTAGCCCTCTTGATCCAAATATTATACACAATATTATAGAACAGTTAGATAATGTTTCTGTGGAAAATGAAAGAGATAAAGTAACAGTAAGGAAAAAACAAATTAAAAGTAATTTACAAAACAAAAAAGTTGGTAGAAAAGAAAAGTTGAGCAGTTCCATTGAATCTCCGATCTTAGATACTCCCCCAACGCATTCGACAAAGCTTCTGATGGATAATGTTACTGTAAGAAAAAAATATACTGACAATACGAAATCAAATGCAGATCCGCCTGAAAAAATTGAAATGTTTGCTAAGAAAGCAATTCGTTTTTCTTCCAGTTCTGATGATGATAACGAAAAAAAAGATGAAAACTCGAATCCCAAACTGACCGTCAATTTAAGAAGCAGAAGAAAAACAGTTTGCTGCATTGGCTGTGTTAACCCTGATCTACAAAAAGTAACCAAAACCAATGCTAAATTAGAACAACCAAGAAATAGACGTAAAACAATTCATACAAACAAGACTGTAGAAAACCAAAGTAAAAACAGTGAAGAAGTACAAAATAAAGAGAATAGGCAGACACAAAATAGACGCAAGACAATAAACAGTTTAAATCACGTTATTCCGGAACAAAATGTTAAAGATAAAACTCCTAAAAAGAAACTTAGGTTGTCCGATCCTGAAGAAGGAATTGGAATAATTAAACAAAAAGTTGTAAAGAAAGTTTCAACGACAAACGAAAGTAGTGATACAGAGTCAGTTAGAGACAGTCCACAAAAGAGTAAAAGCAATAATACGAATTCGCGTAACAGAAGATATACTATCGCTGGATCAAGCCAAAATAAAATCAACAGCAAACATAGTCGTACTAGAAGATCGGCAAGCGTTGCAGACGTAGACTCGGATCAATCTCCGAATTCTGGAAGTGACGAAAAGAAAATGCGAAGATTAAGAAAACTGTACGACCCGGATTGTTTACTGATTCCAAGCAACAGAGACGACCAGGAACGGGAAGACAAACGAAAAGCCATCAAACCTAATGATTTGGGAGTATTTGTCAAACCGATTTTGTCACACAAAGGTAAAGATTGCGCCGAAAATAACGAATCAATCGTTGAAGAAATTTTGAATCCAATTACCTCTAAAAAACAGGTCAAAACTAAACCAAACGTCAGAAAGTATAAATCAGTAAACAGCGACGACGATGAACAAGTTGAACTTAAAAAATGGATTTCCAATAGGAAAAAGGATGAAAATAAAAAAGACAATGCAAATACTTCCAGAAGGTCACAGAGGAATTTGAAAAACAACAATGATGATGTAGATAGTGAATCTGCCACACCGGTTATGTCTAGAAACCAAAAAACGAAGCCTTCACAGGTTTTCAAACAGCCGAATGTTCCAAGAACGCCAAGAAATACAAGACCACCAACAAGACAGACACCCATCACTCCATTACGAAACAGAAGAAGCACATTGGATTTCATGTCGGCCACATTGCCGAGTTCAAGACGTAAATTGAAAATCGATAGAGTGATAACCCCTAGTATAGTATGCACGAAACTGCATACAGAAGATGTGCAAGTTTTTAAACAGATAGTCGACAAACTTGGACGATTTAATGTAGAAGATGAAGTTTCGAGTAAAACTACACATTTAGTTGCCGGAGAACCAAAACGTACGATAAATATGCTCAGGGCCATTTCGATGGGTTGTTGGATATTAAAAAAGGAATGGGTAAGTTGTTTTGTGATTTTAATGCAGTTCGTTATTATTTTTATTCCTTCTTTTAGCTATTCAGTTCTCTCGAATTGGGAAAATGGCTTCCAGAGGAAGATTTTGAAGAGACTAGGTTTTCTCCAGCTGTACAGGTAGCTATAAATATTTTAATGAGTCATGTTGCATGTCTTGAGACCACCAAATTTTACCATAGGAAATCTATAAATTTTTCCACACCCTCCGCCGGAGAAATTTTAAATAACGCGTTTATTATAAATTTTTCATAAATTTTCGATAAAAGCGAAAAGCTTAGCCGTTTTATTTTCCTCTCTCCTTCATATAAAAACCATGTCTTGTTATGCACCAGTCGACGCGTCTCTTGTCTTCATCATCTTCTATGTGATTATGGGCTTAATCTGAGGACTATCCACCCAGGTTGTTATTTTTTCAAATTTTGTTAAGTGGAAAAGCTGCACCCTCGTGCGTCGGACTTCTGTCCTCACTCTTCCCCTGCACTTGATAATTAGTTTAAATATTCTTCTGTATTCTTGGCACAGAATATTTTATTTAATTTAGTATAATTTTTAAAGTCGGATGGTCACTTTTACATTAGATATTTAGTGATTTTTGTTGGACTTCAGCTCCCGATTCGGATGTTGCCACGACGATGTCCGAATCGGAAGTCCTCGACTGATAATTCTTTTTAATGTTTTTTGTTCTAAATATTCCTCTAATTTTCCTGGGAAATGTGTTTGAGATATTGGTGAAATTTTCTTGCCAAGTTGTGAGTAACGTTGATTAGCGTACGCGAATTTTTTGTTTTTCCAAAAAAATCGTTGGAGAATACCCTAGTTCGGTGTGATGTCATTTTGGTTCCACTGACATTTAATTCTAAGCAAACTTTTAACAAAAACATCAATAAATTAGACATATACGTTTTTACTGTTTTTAGTTTATTCCTAAATATTGTTTACAGGTCATAAAAAATAGTTTAAAGGTATGTAATTGGTAACTAAACGATTGTATATTTGATGCATGTTATCTACTTACTTTAGGAATATATTTATAAAAGTGAAAAAAACGATATAATTTAGGTAAACAAAACGAACAAAACGCACTCAAAAAATCTACTGTCACTTTAATTGTCAGTGGAACCATAAATACATCATCACTGAACTAGCGCATTCTGGAAACAGAAAACATTTTTTCTTGATTTTCACCAATCGAAAGGAAATGTTTTGAAATGGAAATAAATTAATGGAAGCCCAACTTTTCCGAAGACCCTATAAACCCATCGAATTTCGTAAGAGATGGACGAACAAAACACATGTTTAGATTCTTTTTTACAAGTGAGTCATGTCACATGTCATGTGACCACCAAATGTTTGGATAGAAAAAAATTCAATCTTTGGGAAGTAGTCCTACGGGCCCAAATGAACCCATCAAATTTTGTAGCATACAGACAACACCTACTTAGATTCTTTTTAATTATTTAATTACAGTGAGTCATGTCACATGTTTGATTACTATATGGGACAAGAGAGAGGTCCGACACGCCCAACATAGGGCGCGGCCATTTTGAACCCTATGACACAGTTTATAGCTAAAGAATCAGATCGCTCACTCTGCGTCGGCACTTTTTATCTCAATGTTCCAGTTTATACACTGCGCAACTCAGATAATACAATACATGACAACCGCCTATAACAAAACAGCAGTCTTCTGCGTATCCTGAATTTCTATCCCTGGAGTGGATGTTATTTTGGAACTTTCAACTGGTCCGAGTGAGCTAACTGATTCTTTAGCAATAAACTGTGACTCCAAAAATAATATTCACTGACACTGACAGCAGCAAGCCAAATATCAGGTGCGTTTTAATCATCCTCTTCTGCTTCCGGAATTGTTGGTTCAGTCGTTCTAACCTGTTAGATTAAAACAAGAAAGCCGACAATTCCGAAGCAGTAGCGGATGATTAAAACGCACCTATTAAAAGTATTGCGCCAAGATGTAGGCAACACGTAATAAGGGTTCAAAATGGCGGAGTTTTCTATCTCCTTTTAAAAGGCACTCAGAAAGCTGCGCAGTGCGACCATTCTCCGTATAGTAAAAGAAAATCAAAGTATGTGATAATTAATAATGCAGTAGCGACAGCTTGAGTCGACTCCTTTGATGTTGGAGTGGTCAGATTTTTATTGACAGTTGACGTTTTTGTCGCTTATTTCTACACTGAAAAAAGTAACTTCAAAATATCTTGTCCCTTTGTCTGTTTGAATAAAATATCACACAATAAATAAAAGATAAAAACTAAGTCTTAATATAATAAAAATGTATTAAAATGTGCATTAGAACCAATAAGATAATCAAAACAATCAACTACAATTAATCCATTGACAATTTACATATGCCGGTTTGTCGTATTTGCCGCTTATTTACGGACATGCGCAGAAAAATATAGAACCCTCATAAACAATGAACTGTCGCTACTATATTATTACTTATACTAGGGTTCCACCGGAAAATATGTAACAAAGCCCTTTATCGTAGTTAAATTTATAATTTTCCTACACCATTCGATAGGGAGATTTTAAAAATGCATTCATATTTCGAATTTCGAAACGTCGGCCGGGCGCGCTCGCTTTCCTCTGTAGTAGTTAAGAGGTGGGTGGGAGGAGCGTAGCGTGATCTTATAGAAAAACTGTTGCCATGGAAACGTTTGTCATGCTAATGACTAAACTAAATCCCGTAGTGAGAAAATGCCTAGTTGCCAAGTTATAGATGGTTTTATTTTCACTTTATTTTAGATTAGGATATTGTGTTAAGATTTAGGTTTTTATTTAGTCGACATCACGACATCTCCATAACCGATTTCAGCTAAACTAAAGTGAAAATTAAATGACCTGTAACTTGTCAACTATGCATTTTCTTACAACAGGATTTGAGTTTTTGTTTAGTAGTTACCATGACAAGTGTCTCTGTGGCAAGAGTTTCTCTGTAACTAATTACAGCTAAATTAAAACATCTGTAACTTGGCAACCACGCATTTCCTCACCATGGGATTTGGCTTTTTGTTTAGTCGTTACTATGTCAAGCGTTCCCATGACAACAGTTTTACCATAACTGATTTCGTCTAAACTAAAGTGAACATTAAATAATCTATAACTTGGCAACCATGCATTTCCTCACCACGAGAATTGGGTTTTTGTTTACTGGTTACCATGGCAACAATTTTTACGTAACTGATTTCGGCTAAACGAAAGTTGACCCGTTTTAACCCACTGTTAATCTTGAGAAGGGTGTACGAAGTTCGCCACCTCTTCGAGTAGGATAGGGGTGTATCATATCATTAGTTGTTTGATGTGAAAGATTTTTTTTTAATATATAACACCGATAGATAAATAAACATGCATGGAAGAGTTAATATTGATACCTTGATAAAATCTTGCTGACAATGTTCCGAAGGATAAGCTTCTATCATGCATATAATAATTCTTTTTTGCAAGAGAAAGACTTTATTCATATGGGCCGAATTTCCCCAGAAAATCAAGCCATATGAAAGTACCGAATGCACTAGTTCGTAGTAGATTGTTAGACCTAAAAAGTTGACCTCCCTTACCTGGTGTATAGATTTATGTTCAATTTTTATTAATTGACTTTCGTCGAGGCTTGAATTTTTTGGTTGGAAAAGCATAAATACTGTTTTATTAGAATTAAGCAATAGGCCATTATTTGAGCACCAATGTTGGTATTCATTTGCACTAATATTTGAGGCAGAAACTGTATCAGACAAGATTGTTTTCAGCAATAAGTTGATTAGTGTCATCAGCACTACCAACGGTAGTTACTCTGGGTGTTGGACATGAGTATTCTAAGTCGCTCATAAACAAGATGAAAAATAGTGAGGCTAATAGTGAGCCCTGGGGAACTCCTTTATTGCATGTATATTGCGGTCCGCCTATTATTCTATTGCTCTCTAATCAATACTATTGTGTTTCTTTACCGTTTTACTGGAGCGAGGAAAGCAAACTTAACATACCATAGATGGCGAGAACTGTACCACTCGCGCTATTTATGATTTGTGCGCTTTTACGTGCACTTGTTTCTATTTTAAGATTGCAAATCTACACAAGTTGATACGAATATTTTAGCATCTCCTTTGTTTCATTTTTTTAGATTAACAATTCTTCATTTAATTGAATCTTTGAGTTTACACCTCTATTTTTAACCGACTTCATAAAAGGAGAAGGTTCTCAATTCGTCGCGATATTTTTTTTTATGTATGTTCAGCGATAATTCTTTAACACGGTGTCAGATTTCAATAATTCTTTTTTTGTTGGAAAGTGGACACTTCAGTCAAAATTTAATAATTGGGCCCATGAGAAAATCCCCAAAATCTTAATTTTTTTATGTATGTTTAGAGATAATGCTTTACCACCTTGTCCGATTTCAATGATTCTTTTTTAGTAAGGGGGTACCTCAGGAGTGGTCCCATATAAATTTGGTTAAGATGTGGTGATGGCATTTGCAAGTCGGTTTTTTTAAATTTTTAATTTCTAATACTTGTTTACTTCCGAAGGGTCACAGGATCTCTGGAAGGTTTTAAATACAATGAGATTGTACATTTTTTCTTTAACCCTGGACGCAAGGGAACCTTACCCCAATAGACGGCGTTACAAAAATATTAATTTTGTCATTTGATATAGTAGACTGACTTAATGTTGATATCATTTATCTTGATGGATCTTTTTCCATTTTTAAACATAACCTATTTATATTTGTCGGGTTGGTGGTGTAGCGGTCTCAGGCGCTTATATTCATTTATAGGCAAGTTTGTGATCAGAGACAAAGGGACTTCGGATCCTACACCAAACTATGTGGATTTTTAATTAAATTGCATGGTTCGGTATAGGATTTGATGTATGCCGTATTAATAGAAATTCAGTTTCTGTTGATATGACATGCAGATTATAAAAATCGCCATGCATTACCGTCTCGATGATGGTGGGTGAGGTTTTCCTCACCTGTAAGTCAATTGGCACCATTAATCATCTTTAAATCGCCCCGGAACGCTACGACAAATAATAATAATAATAATAGCCGTCCCTTTCCCCGCAAAAGCTCAGCTTTTGGGGTTAAAATTCACTCGTAAGGGGGTGGATTAGGGAGAGTATTATTATATTGTCGGTGTGACGAATTATCAAAAATTTGAATAAATCGACACCCCCATCGAAAAGGGTTGTCTCTCACGATACGTCCATTTGAAATTCAACCACATGCATTTTCAGTAAAATAAGGTAAATATGTTAGTATTAATAACGTATCTCAATTTACAATGGATTATATGATATTCGTTTGGAAAAAGTTGTATTTGAATTTATAGGCACCTTTTGTAGTTTCGAATATTATGTAGCATATTATAAGATTGTAAAATGAGTTACAAGCCTTCTTGTTTGCATATTTTTTTAATGTAGCATTAAAAATATATGGTTTCCCATTTTAACATTGTCGTATTATAGTCCCGTATTTATAAAACGGACCTCAGGTGAGTCCGATTCAGCTGAGTCGTCCTTAAACGAAAATCGAAGTTCGATTACTATGAGAATTTAGAGATGGTAGTAACAAATCCGTAAATGTACTTAACAGATGCCGATTTTGTTAGTGTCCATCTCTAAATTCCAGTGCAACACTGGAAGCACCTGTAGAGAAGTTATAACCAAACGTCGATTTTCATCCAATGATGACTCAGCCAAGTCTGACTCAGCTGAGATCTGTTTATAAATACTGGCCTTAGTTTCTGCCTTATTCTATGAAGTGTTATGTTAATTGTCAAGGTTGTATCTCATCAATTTCAACTTATTAATGATTTATAAAATTTAAACATTCATTATCTCATTAGTAATTTCAACTGGATTCCAAATATCCTATTTGTTAACTATTAGAGTATTATATAGTTTCTCCACAAAAGAAAACTATTTTTAGTTTTCTGACGTTTCTGAAAATCACTAAAATTGAGTTAAAACCTTCTTCGATTCACTGCATTTGCTATTTCTTTCTTTCTTTCTTTCTGTATTTGTACCTCTATCGGGAGTTCGTACCTAAATTTGAAAAATGTATAAATTATTTCTCCTATTTGGCTATTTTATCTCAAATTTACGGAGACTATTTTTGCTTTCAGAAAAGCAGATTGCAGCGTCAAGCGTTTGGCCCTTCTTACACCATGGATATGTTCCAAGATTGTGGTTTAATTTATATATCTCGGGGTAGTATTCCAAGGTGTTCGGATCTACAAGAACTCGTCGTATTGTGCAAGGGGAGTGTCACAAGAATCGCCAGAAGTGCCAAAATTGTCATAGGAGAATACGTGAAGTATGAAGGAATTATTTGTGTTACTGAAACTTGGCTGTTAGACTCTATAACATTAAACAGAAGATTACCTTTTACTAAATATATTATTAAACCACCCGACAGAAGAAGTGTTATTGTATAATACCTATTTTTTTATATGCCTGTTTTGGATTTATTTTTCTGTTCTATTTTATATTTATTTTTATTATATTTTATAAGCTAACCGTTTTATTTTTTATATAAATAATCACAGTTAAAGAAACGAACATATAAGCAGCTTTTATGTTTTATGTGGAAAAAAAAAACTGGAAGTGTTAAAACTGTGCCGATAAGGCGAAAAATAAAACCTAACCTAGCAATACCACAATTTTGCAGCAAGAAATTAATTTCTTACAACGAGAAGAAAACATTTATTAGCAGATTTCAATAGAGAATTGAAGCAAAACAGTGCCCTCTTAAAAGAAAAGGTTTAAACCACCTACCATAGGTACAAATTTAAGTTCCTCATCAAATAATGTTACTTCTTATAGCGACATAGGAAAAAGGACAATCAAACGAATTCCCGAGATTGTTATGAAAACCAAGAATAATTCACTGTCAGACATTGATATTCTACGAAATATTCAAAATAATATTAAACCTGGTGATCTTAAATTAAAATTTATGTGTCAATGGAATTAAAAATATTTTAAATGGAATTATAATTAATTCTGATAATGAACACTATAAAATCTCTCGGCTCATATCAATAATAAATTGGAAATAAATACAATATGGAACAAACCACACAATTTAATCCTAGACTAATTTAAAAAAATGTCTTGATCGATCCTGATATAGAAAATGAAATAATCCAATATCTCGGATAGTACGACCAGAGTATATTAACCGTTGAGTAGCGACATAAAGCGTCGGTGCCTTTGATCTTGGGTGGTGCAAAGGACCCCGCAATAATTTTATGGAAATAGGGTTTCTGTCAAATTGTCTGAATTTTTGATATGTTTTAGGTTTTGTCATCGTGAACAAATGTCTCCATGGGCACAAAGTGCCAAAATGAATATTTTGGCAGCTACGGAGCTGCCAAAGCTCCCCTGACCCGTTGCAAAACTATTTATTTTCAATACTACCTATTTACAGATATCAAAAGCATATTTTAATTATTCTAATATATAGGGTAATGTTTTTGAGGTCACTGGATTCAACCCTCATGTTAGATTGGACAAATTGACCGTTGACAGCTGTCAATTCACTGTCAACGAGGAATATAAAAGTAAATATCCTCTTTTCACATTGAAAGTTTGGGTTTTTGAGGTCGCTGAATTTAATTCGCATGTCAGATTGGACAAGTTGACAGCTGCCAAGTGACTGTCAACGAGGAATATAAAAGTAAATATCCTCTTTTCACATTGAAAGTTTGGGTTTTTGAGGTCGCTGAATTCAATTCTCATGTCAGATTGGACAAATTGACCGTTGACAGCTGTCAATTCACGGTCAACGAGGAATATAAAAGTAAATATCCTCTTTTCGCTGTCAACTGTCAATTTGTCCAATCTGACATGAGAATTGAATTTAGCGACCTCAAAAACCCAAACTCTCAATGTGAAAAGAGGATAATAGAGAGTTATTGCAAGTTCACTTAAGGTCAGTCACTATTAGTGCCGCTCTTATTTTGACATCTGAGCATGCGCAGATCACTAACTTTAATAAAGATTGTGCCTGTCCTTAATAGAGAGATATTGCAAGTTTACTTAAGGTCAGTTACTATTAGTGCCGCTCTTATTTTGACATCTGACCATGCGCAAATGTTTACGTTTTAAAACTGACTTTATTAAGGATTGTGCCTGTCCTTAATTGTGGATGTTTAAGGGCAGCAGGTAGTGGCGACTTTATAGTTTTCGGATGCGCTTGCCGTTAGAAGTTTTTTAATATTAAATATTTAATATAATCGTCATTTAAACCTTCTAAAATTATAATTTCTAATTCCTCTTTAATATTAAAGACACCAAAAAAGATGAACTATAATTTAAAATTTAGTGGCTGGCTTTATGGAAATTTGCAATATTTCTATTAAGGACAGGCACAATCTTTATTAAAGTTAGTGATCTGCGCATGCTCAGATGTCAAAATAAGAGTGGCACTAATAGTTACTGACCTTAAGTGAACTTGCAATAACTCTCTATTTACTTTTATATTCCTCGTTGACTGTGAATTGAGTCCAGTGACCTCAAAAACATTACCCTATATATTAGAATAATTAAAATATGCTTTTGACATCTGTAAATAGTATTGAAAATGAATAGTTTTGCAACGGGTCAGGGGAGCTTTGACAGCTCCGTAGATGCCAAAATATTCATTTTCGCACTTTGTGCCCATGGAGACTTTTGTCCAAGAAGACAAAATCTACAACATATCAAAAATTCAGACAATTTGAGAGAAACCCAATTTCCATAAGATTATTGCGGGGTCCTTTTCTTTCTCTCCCTTGACGTTATTGACGGAATGACACAGTAAAACACTGCTCGAATTATGAACTGGTCTTGAATGTGATGTTTACACTGCTTGACCTAATTTGAAGTAAAACTCTTTTGTAGTTTACATTTATAATAAAGGTTTGGTCATTAGGCAGTTTTATATTTATGAGTATTTAACTTATGTAGTAAATATAAAAATATATATATCACTATTGATAAATTTCAATTTTTTTATAATAAAAAACGGCAAAAGATTTCTACGAATAGATAGAACGTGACACTCGTATATCAGGCCCGTATTTTTTCTAAAGCGTTTCTCTTTACGTATTTTTTAATTTCCTTGTCGATGTTTATATTGTTATTTATATAATGTATTTTCTAGTGGTGCTGTTTCGTTTATATTTAAATTTTTAATTGTATTCCGCACTGAGTGCATTGAGAGTTCCTATTTTTTGAGGGAGAATACAGAAATGTACAGTTTTATTTTAGTATTTAAAATTATCCTTCTTTTGACAATACTATTGTTCAGATCGTTCTGTTGTGTTTTTAGTTTAATTATTCTTTCAACGAAAAGTTTTAGAGATTCCCGTTTTATGTTCCTATTCTTGTATGATGTTTTGTACTTATACCCCTTCTGTGCGCATGGTACACCAGACAGGGAAAGGGGTATCGTACGTCACACATAACCGTAGTGTTTCGGGAGAGTTTATTTAGATTGTATAAAAATTATTTTATTGATCAAATCTTAATAACATTTACACGTTCTGGAAAAACTCTGGACGTGGCTCAAATATCTTTTTACAACCCCAAAATTTACCCCCTTCCCTACAAATTCTCGTAATGAAGCCCATGATAGCTATACCTACTCACTCACCAAACAGGAATACCTGAAATACGAGGATGGGATGAAAAGTTTCCGGCCTAACATAGAACGCAACACAATAGTGACTGAATAAGAATTTATTTTTCTACATTGTCCCCTTGTAGGGTACTACATTTGACCCAACGATGTTCAAGCGATTTAATACCGTCACTGTAGTCTGATTTATCCAACTCGTCAAAATAGGCGTTTGTGGTTGCAATTACTTCTAAATACGTGGAAAATTTTTTGCCAGCTAGAATTTTTTTTAGGTTTGGAAACAAATAAAAGGGTGACTGGGCGAATACGGAAGATGGTTTAACGGTTCAAAGCCTAGCTGATGAATTTTAGCTATTACAAGAACGGACTTGTGGCAAGGTGCATTGTCCTGATGAAACAGAATTTTCTTTTTTGTCAAACCAGGACGTTTTCCGCTTATATTCTGCTTAAGCTGGTCCAGTAAGTCGCTGTAGTACTCGGAATTTATTGGTCTTCCCTTTTCGAGATAATCTATTAGCATCCCAAAAGACCGTTGCCATGACGGTACTGCCTTTGCCTTCTTTGGAACTGGTTCGTCCTTTACCGTCCTCTGTTTGGACTGTTGTTTAGTTTCAGGGGTATAATGATAAACCCATGTTTCATCAACCGTAATAAATCTACGCAAAAAGTCCCCTGGATCACGTCTAAACAGTGCCAAATTCTCCTCTGAAATGGTTAGCCGCGTGAACTTCTGATCTGACGTGAGCAAACGCGGCACCCATCGGGCGGATAGCTTTCTCATACCTAAAACTTCACACAAAATATAGTGAACTCGCACTTTTGATATGCCCACAGCCTCAGCTACCTCTTCCAATTTTAATCTGCGATCTTTTAGAATTAGTTTGTGAACGGTTTGCACCATTTCTTCAGAAGTTGCCGTTTTTGGCCTGCCAGAACGCGGAGCATCATCAGTGCTGGTACGACCACGTTTAAAGTCCGCTACCCAGGTTTTAACTGTGCTAAATGAAGGAGCAGATTCCCCTAGTATAGCATCTAGTTCAGCTTTTATTTCCGTCGACGATAATCCTTTGTTGACAAGATAATCCTTTGATATGGACATATTTTATCACCGCTCTTATCTTGTTTTTTCCATCTTTTAAAAGTGGCGCACTTTATAAGCTTTTAAAATACCCAGGACACAAACTACTTGACGCACTCACTTTAAACTTCGAGCGTATACTGACGACACAGACACATTGGAACAGGAAAGCAAATCGGGCCTACTATAGGTTGGGCCGGAAACTTTTCATCCCATCCTCGTATTTACCTAAATTAAATAAAACAGTAACTTATTTATAAGCAATTTATTCTTACACGGTACATTCAAAAACTTATAAATTACATTCCAATAACCCCTGTACCTCTAATAGAAGCACACATCTGATAAGTACAATTAACATTAAGAAACTTACAGATTTCGTAATCATATCCATCGGACACGTGCGATTGCAAACAAATATAAATCGCTTATGTTTTAATAAATTACTTTATGAAATGTGTATGTTTCGTTATGCGTTTTATTTTAATTAATATATTTATATTTCAAAGAGAGTGGTAAATATGTATACGTATAATTATTTAATTATGTGCACGAAGAAACAAATAAAAATGAATTTTCGATATGATGATGTAGTTCCACCACGTCACAGGCCTAGAAAATTGATGTTATTCAGTGCAACCACATGCACAAATTGGACACGCTTCTGAGAAGTATATTCAAGAAGTTGATGTGATTGCTCTGGTCGGGCCATTTTAGGCAGTCTACTAATTGCTGGATTTTAGAGAATTTACATTTCGGTTGTTCGGGATTCTTGCACCAAGTAGACTTGGGAGCCAGGTACTGAGCTGGTGGTGACGAAAGTACGATGTTTGGCGCGGATGAGGGACAGATTGCTTTCGGCGGTTTCGGCACGGTCTTCGGCGGCTTCCAACTCTCTTTGGAAGCGACGCACGCGGGATATACTTTGGCTAGATACACCCTCCTATAAAAAATAAAACAAATTAGTATCCGAGCTAATAATTAGTATAATTAAAGTTTAATATTAACATCTTTCGTACAAAGGCAGACATCGTTGTCCGCTCTTTTACATCACAGCTAAACGACGGCTAGTTTCCAAGATATTAAAATTTTATTTGAGGTGCCTCTATCTTAGTGCAACTCAAATAGTTAGTGTTTTCTGTTAACCTTACACCTGTTAATTACAGATTTGATATTTATAATCTGTATTATCAAGACACGATGTACTCTTTCTGATATTGTGGTGCCTTGGGCTGGTTGAGTTTCTTCTGACGCTTAATGAGAAAGATTCCAAGACGCAAAAGTTACGTTGTTGATCTTGTGGTCTTGTAGAAGGCCTTACTTATTACAGACAGGGTTGCCTAGAGCCATGGTGGGCCACGGAACATTTTTATACAAAAATCAAAATCAAGTCCTTTCTATGTTGCATTTCTAAAAGAAGGCCTCAAGCAAAAGCAGATCCTTTCTTAGTGAAATCTAAAAAGGTCCTCTCCTTGTGTTTTTCGTAAATCAGGTCCTCCCTTTTGTGGCGAATTTCTAAACAAAAAAACGTCCTCGGCTAAAGCGCTGATTTGCCCCAGGAATTTGTCCCAGCTCTCCTGCCTCTCGTCGGGCCTGATTACAGGAACCTGGTCAACAAGTGAATGATTTCTTTCCACTAAGAATATGAACACAAAATTGACATCGGTGTCAGCTCTTTTACAATACCCCAGGTAATAAAGTTTACTGCAACTGGTCAAACTCGTAAATATGTAAAATTTATTTTCCAAAAAACATTTTGACGTTATAAGATGTCACATTATAACCCTATAAGTATTTTTGATGTCAACTCAACATCAATTTGACGTTAATAAGATGTCAAATTATATACTCAAAGTATTTTTGACGTCAACTGATAAGCTCAATTTGACGTCATAAAATGACGTCATTCGTCTTTCACTTAGACATTCATAATTACATAACTATTCAGAGTTGATCACATAATGAAGTACAAATGTCTTGAGCTGGTTTCCTGGGACACTTAACGATTACTTTCTAAGTTTTTAATATTTCATTTGAGGTGCCGCTGTCTTGATACAAATCAAGTAATTATTTTCTATTATTAGCTACTCAAATTCCTAATACTTTAAATTGGTTGGTTACAGATTTGCTATACGTAATCTGTATTATCAATATATATATATATATATATATATATATATATATATATATATATATATATATATATCAATACGATGTACTCTTTCCGATACGTGATGCCTTGTGGTGACTGAGTTTTTTCTGACGCTTAATAATAAAGATTCTAAGACGCAAAAGTTACGCTTTTTATCTTGTGGTCTTATAGTAATTGTAGCGCGCTCTTCCAGAGGGCCTTGCTTATTACAGAAACCTAGTCAACAAGACAATGGTAAATTCGACTAAGGTCAATTTCGTTCTTTCCACTTATATGAAAATAGAAGGTTTAAAGGAACCAAAAGTTGGTAAGGGTACCGCATATTGTTAAATATATCTAAAGAGCTACTACATCGTTATGGACTGGCAGAAAGCTGACATCTTTCAGGATCACCTCGTGGGCTTCTCTGGACTACTTCAATGATCTGTATCGTTTAGGACGGATGAAATATATGAAGTTCAATCCAAAGCAATCTTCGTTTATATAAACATGAAGAAATATACAGATTGAGTTTCCACAATGCTAAGTAATAGATTCCATTAATTCTTGATAGTGTACCTCAAGTAGGAGCGGTACTGTAAGAAGCTTAGCATCCAGTACATGAGACTGTTATCATTAATATCCATTTAAACTCTTGCACACAATGCATCTATAAATTTATTTACGAGCATTATAAAGTCATAAAATTTTGTTATTTTCAAAAATAAAATACAAATACCCAAAATAAGTTCATTCAGAAACTCCATTCTAGTCATTGTGTGTGGTTTCGTCGGGTATTTATTCTGTTTAAATAGAAAACCATATAGGAACGAATAATATGTCATTAGACTCGCGATCGACAAACAAAAACAATAAAATAAAACTTACGACTTCTTGAAGTTGTCTCTTGAAAATGGTAATTTTACAGTTAGCCTTGTCTAAAGATTCCTGTAAGAGAGCAATGTTCTTTTGGTCTTCCTCGCATTGGATCATCACTTCCTTGACTGTGCGTTCCTTCTTGCGCAGTATCTTGATTGTTTCGGCGTGACGTCTCTTTTCCTCGTCAAGTTCAGATTCGACATCGTGCATGCGGGCCTCCAATTTGCTGATGATACGTTTACCTCCAACGATTGCGTTAGCTTCAACTTCTTCCAGGCGAATGGACAGGTTCTTGACTTCGATTTCCAAACTCTTCTTGATTGCTTCGATCTTGACGACGCGTTCTTGTTCTTCGTGAAGAATTTCCACGGTGTGTTTAAGTTCAGCCTGTAATTTATGAATATAAAATAGTCATGCATTAATGTTACATACGGCAATATAAGATGAGGAAAACATACGTGGATCTTTACAATTTATAGGAATACCCAAGATAAATAATTAAATCTTGTCAATCAAGCAACAAGCCTGTTTCCTAACAGTTTGTCAACATCTGGTCAATTTTTCTCTAAACAAATTTGCTAAAAACTTATCAACAGGAAGGAATCAAGGAACAGAACAGAATGGAGGAAGATTGTAACTCTAGAACACAAGGCTTGCAGAGTGGTTTACCAAAATATTCAAATTTAAACGGAACAGTAGCGTGTCACGTGACATCTCTTTTTATAGTGTTACGCTTAAGTAGCCTGCGGCTATTATAGGAAACGTACAGATAGAAAAAGAAGTGGAAATTTACTCATCGCCCTACAGTGTGCTGCGGTCGTCATAAGTAAAAGTACAAGTAAAAGAAGATAGAATAGTCCAGAAATGTCATTACCCGTCAAGAATATTCTAGACGACAGTTCGCGAGGGTTCGAGAAGGGTCAAGCAAGCTATATAAGGATGATCCTGACGTCAGTTTTCAGTTTTATGATAGACGTTATATATTAATGTTATCAGTTGTATCGTTATTGTGAAAGTTGAGTTGAAATAAATTAAGATACCAAACCCTGTGTAACAATAGCTATTGTAAAGGCCGCGCTTTGTGCAGTACTTAATTGAGCCATGGCCTTCTCGAAGTGGACCTTGCATCTACAATCCGTCGAAAAAAATGTTCATGTGTTCAAGGAGAGCAACGTAAGAATATGAAAATCCTTGTGAAACTAGGAAAATCCGCCTTATTGACAGAAAGAAATGCGGATGAATTTTTATAACGCACTTAGGTTTTCGAGTGTTCAATGAGGGATGAGAAGTGATCGAAGACGATTCACGCCCAGGACGATCTTGCCCCTCAAAAAACAGATACATTGAAAAGATCGGTGCATTTATTCGAAAAAAAAAAACTTTCAGTTAAGTATTTGGGCTTTGTTGAATCCGTAGGATCTTGCCATATTCTACATTTTTATTACCCTAGGTCAAATCAGCACTGATCACCAGATTTAAAACAGTAGACCTGTCAAAGAAAAAGCGGTGGAAAAAATAATAAGAGCACTGCTTAGCCAATGGAAAATTAGCAGTAGGATCATATCTGTAACGTGTGGATTGTGGGTTACCTCATGGTACTTAGGCCTCATTAGGCCCATTGTGCATCCTCCTGAGATGATAGGCACCTCCTAGCTCGTGAGCCAGCCTACAGATTTAATGTAGTTGACAACGTTGCCAAGAGGTGCGTCTCTTATATTGGCCGGTGTTAGCCGATTCTCGTCGAACACAAATCTTCTAATAAATGAGAGCGTCGAGCAATCGTAAAGGATATGCTCGGTGGTCTCATCTTCTTGTTCGCACCCTCTACAGCCCCATGATATGGAGATGTTTCCGTACTTGGCAATGACCAGTCAGAATGCCTGTGACTAGGCGCAGATTCTGTCTAGTCATAGTCAAGTATTTGTTTGCTGCAGTGTTGTCAGGATAACTTAAGAGCTTCCTGGCAACTTTGCAGTTTCTTGTTTCATCCCATCTTTCCTTGAATTTCACAAGGGAATGTTCTTTAATTAGGTCTGTCACTACCGATTTTGTCAGGCCAATAGAAGGGCCAGGTCCAAAAATTATTTGGTTGGCTAGTGAATCAGCAAGACGGTTACCTTGCGATGTGGCGTGACCTTTGATCCATCATAAGGTGGCCACATTGTTGATGGATACTTCGGCAGTAGGTATATTAAAGGCGATAATGTTAAAATTGCAAAAGAAAAGCGTGATCAAGTTTATAACACAAATCCGTTTTTTGAACTTTCTGAACATGTTATGAAGCTTTTGATTTTTAGAAAAAAATGGAAAAAAATTAATTTTATAACATTATCGTGCTTCAAAGAAGTGAAATATGCGTGGAAGTAAAGAGAAAAATATGAAACAGTAATAAACATTTAATTTACCTGTACACGTTGGTAGCGTTCATCAGAAATGCGAAGTTCCTTAGTGATTTCGTCGTAGTCAGCAATAACAGTGGACAATTCTTGTTCAATCTTGCTCTTAATTGAAGACAAATTAACATTGATTGTGGTGAGTTCGTTGATGCGAGTGCCAGCTTCTTCACACATTTGTTCAGCTGCTCTCTTACCGCGAAGAGCCTACAACAAAAAAATTATATAGAATACAGAAATGATCACTTTTATCCATTAAAATATTTATTGAAAATTGTTTAAAAATTATTGAACTTACGCCTTCATAGTTGCTCCTGATTTCTTCAGCTTCAGCGGTAAGTGCTTGAACTCTCCTTTGCGAAACGCTGAGTTGGTCCAAAGTAACTTGTAACTGGCGTTGGACTTCCTCGTAGTGAGTAGTGATTTCTGTGAGTTGCAGAGATTGTTTCTTGATGGTCTTCTGGAGGTCAATGTTGAGTTTGTTGGCAGAGTCCAACGACATTTCAAGTTCGGTGATTTGGATCTGTAACTTCTTCTTGATGCGAGTGACCTCAGTCTTGAGCCTGGTCTCGGCTTCCACAACGCGGGCATTGAGTTGTTCAATTTCGATGCTTGTTGCCTTGCTGTAAAAGAAAAAAAATATTTATTATTTTATTGACAAGCTTGTTAGTATCATTGTTTATTAAACGTTAAGCAACAACTTATTTATTCCAGACAACAGACCCCGCTTACGCTGAATCAGGATTTTTACGTCTTGAGGTCCCCTAAATCCGTTTTGACTATTTTCGCGATGATGCCTGTGTGTTTCTGTGTGTGTGTGTGTGTGTGTGTGTGTGTGTGTCTGTATCCACCATAACTCATGAAGAGATACAAAGAAAAACACCAAATTTTAACATTAAGCTTTATTCCAGCGTCCAATGTACTGATTAGATTTTGGGCAGAGTCGGAACATCCGGGGGGGGGGGGGGGGTACTTTATAGATGGTCATTTTTATATTTTATGGAATATATCCGTTATTTACGTTTAGAGAAAAAAATTCTTCAAATAAAAGTTACTTACAATATTATTATAAATATTTTTTGATCTGTACAAAATTTTCCTAAAATGGTCCGTATTCGAGAAATTTGACAAAATGTAAAAAAAATAATTTTTTATAAAAAAATTTTAAATAAAAGTTATTCGTGATATAATTATCTATAATTTTTATCCTATATATAATTTCTCTAAAATCAACCGTATTCGAGATATTTAAGAAAATGTGTAAATTTCGAATTTTGAAGAAAACTCAAAAACGGATGAAGAGAAAAACATTAAATTTTAAAATTAAGTTTTATTTTGGCCTGACTGCAAGAAGAAAAAAAATTGGACCAAGGTACCTAATAAAAAAACCACATAATGATTTCAGACACAATGCGTTGCATCAATTGTTATTTTAATATTTGTTACCTACCTATCTTAAAAAACAAAAAATCCAAATATGCAAAAAATATGGTAGATTTTATTTAATGGGCAAAAAAATACAACTAATCCAATTTTGTAACTTTCTTTACTTCTTGCGTGGCCATAAGCAACCAAAGATATCAAAAATATCGGCACTGTTGCCACTCTTCATATTACTGAGTAATCATTTCCCCTACAATCCGGATGTTTTCACAGAAGCTGATTTTGCTTCTGCTGAGGTCACAGACAAACCTGCAACTGAAGCTGAACCCGTTCAAAATATCAAATTAAAAAATGCATTTGGGTATAATAATTTTAATGAAGAGGATTTAGATCATCTGGCCACTTTGAAAACAAGTAAAAAAAAACTAACAAGAAAGAAATGCAATAAAAATATCTACACAAAGCCAAAACCTTAGTTAGAATATCATTTGAAGAGTTTTTCCAGAAGTACAGTTTGGATAAAAATGCTTTATACTACGATCCCGGTCCTTCCTGTTTAACAGTAACGCCTCAAATGATTTTTCCTTTATCAAAGAAGAAACAGCAAATACGAAGCCAAAGTCCAAAAAATCCTAAATTCTTTCGTCCACTCCCTAGAAAGCAAGCAAGAAGAAAACATTAAAAAGCAAGGTGCAAAGAGAGCTGTTTTTAATTCTCGGAAAACTGAGGCTGAGCCATATAAAAACAAATTGACACCTCAAAAGTCCGCAGAAGAAGTAAAATATGAAAATTCTTACTCTTAGGCATATTATAGATCGTGTTCTGTTAAGACATCTGTCACCTAAGAGTATGCAATTTAGATTTTTTTTAAACAAATAACTTTAAGAAATGCTTTTAGTTTGTCAATATGTTATTTTTATGATATCCCAAACAACTTTTATTGAACGAATTTTCTTCTCCAAGCGCAAATAACAGAGATATTCCTTAAAGTAAAAAAATGCTTCAAAATTCAAAATTTGCACTTGTCCTCAAATATCTACATTGACAATGACATCACATGCAACTTTTAATTAAAGAATTTTCTTCTCCAAATATAATTAACAGATATATTCCATAAAGCCCCCCCTATAAAGTACCCCCAGATGTTATAATAAGTGATTTGGACAAAGGTTTATTAGACAAACGCAATCTATAAGTATTGCTCCGCAATTTTGTGTACCTTGTATACTAAATTAGTTCTAATAGCAAGTTACTTCAACGTAATATCTACCAGCGATAAAACATCGAAATTACCAGTCTAGAGCATAGAGTATGGATATGTGTATTCAAATTTAAAATTAAAATATATTTTATTAATAATAAATTGGTCACCCAGTATAAAATTTGTCTTTTATTTATACCCATCCCATTCATTACAATTCCTTATTTTACGAAATGATAAAAATGTGTTAAAAAAAAGTGTTTACATGAAAGTATACGCTTTTTTACTAAGTTGGCTATGATTTGTTAAATCCAATGCGGCCAAAAAACAAATTAGATTTTTAAATATGGCTTCTTCTGCTTATGACGTTTAGTTTTGTAGTGTTATTTCAGAACAATTTCAGGAAATATCTTCTTCAGTGTTAGATATATAAAGACATTGTGTTCATATAATTATTTAGTGCCTATAGGTATGTTTTTTATTTATTTTTTTTTATTTTTATGTCAAAATTCAAATCTGTGGAATGACTCTTTAATATTATGAGTTGGTGGTAGTAGGTAGATAAATAATTCTTAAATTGATAAATAAAATTTTACTTAGATAACTTAGGTGCGATTGGGATTGATTAGTAATGTAATTAGTAACATTTTTTTAATTAATATTTCATTCAATGATTAGAAATTTAGACTACAAGCCCATCGAGAATTTTCAAGTGGTCATTTGACCAAGCGTGAATTGCTGATAAATCAATGCTACCCATTACCTTGCATATTTGTTGGAAATAGGGATGTATAAAAAATATCGATAGTATCGAATATCGATATTTTATTTAAAATACAGGGTGTTTCAGACTTGGTGAATCAAACTTAAGGGCTGGATAGAACTTCAAAAATAATTTTAAAAACTCTTAATAATTGAGGCTAAAAATGCTTTTTTTTCGGATATAGGTACAGAGTGTTAAAGTTGAAATGTTGAAGAGGGTTTTTCCTTATTATTTTCGAAACGTCAAGTGACCAGAAAGTAAAATTTGTAAATTTTTATGCCCTATGTAATAATCATATTTTAAGTTTTTAATTTTATTCAGAAGCGCATCAATTAGGGGTGGGTAAAGGAAAATATAGCCTTAACTTTTGCGTACGTCACTGTTTTTATTTAAAATAGGTATTCTTGTCTTAAGACATTGATATAATATATATTTTACAAAAAATTATTTATGCAAAAATTGAGATAAACCGATTGGCATAAAAGATGTTTAAAATTTGTAGACAATAATTTAAAACTGCATTTCGTTAGCAAACCTCGTAATAGTCGAGGCAATGAAGCACTAAAAAGGTCAGAAGTTCCGAATTTTTTAGATTAAAACGGATCGGAATGCGGTTTTTTGCATTCGCTTCCAAAATTATTTTGGAAAAAATGTTTCTACTTTTTATCTTATACAAACCGGAAATTGCAGTGCTGCAGCCAAAAATGCATTTTTTGAGGCGGCTTTTGTAATATTAAAGAACTTTTTAAATAGGAGTCAGAACTGGCCCAAATCAAGTTCCCGGAGGTTTTTGAGGTCGCTGATCACGATTATGATGTTCAAATTGACCCATAGCCGACCTGGAGCTCAGGAACGCCGATGAACGTCATCTCCTTGGGACTCTCCCGAAATTCACGTGGGGAAGGACAGACACTTGGCGCCTGGAGGTATTTTGGATCGCTGAATTTATATATGGTTTTGGCGAACACCACCTGGACACCTGGTGTGTCAGAACATGGACGTGGACGTCATCCCCGAGAATTTTCCTGACAAGATCGCCAAAAACAACCTAAAAATCATTGTGAGGGCGTTTTTTGGAGCGCTGAATCCAAATTTCACGTCGAAAATGACCCCCTAAACATCTGGTGCACCGGAACCTATACTCGGACTTCATCTCCATGAGTTTTCCTCACACAATCGAAAAAGACGAACTAAAAATCGTTATGGGGTTTTTTTGGGGTGCTGAATTTAAATGTGGCATCCGCGAACACCCTCTGACACTTGGTGCGCCCGAACTTGGACGTGGACGTCATCACCGATAATTTTCCTGACAATATCGTCAAAAACAACCCGCCTGGACTTAGGAGAAAGTTTCTTTGTATACTTACACAAAAACGTTTCGAGCGTTGGGAGAAAAGAGAAAAGCCGCTCGGTAAAGTCCGTAGATCTAGCCGGAGATTATTCTCGTAATTCTCCTCGCTCTATTCAAACCCGGCATTTAGAATTTTACAGTACTGGATCAACTTTTTTGAGGGCCCCAGGCGAGAGTTACACATCAATGAATGTGTGAAATTATGAGACGACTTTCGGTTGGTCTGGAAAACTCTCGGAGACAACGTTCAGCCCAAGGTTCCGGTGCATCAGGTGTTCGAAGGGTCGTTTTCTACGGGAAATTCGAATTCAGCGCCACAAAGAACCCCCCACAACGATTTTGGGTTCGTCTCCTTCGATTGTGTGAGGAAAACCCTCGGAGACGACGTTCAGGGCCAGATTCCGGTGCACTAGGTGTTCGGAGTATCGTTTTCGATGTGAAATTTGGAATAAGCGCTCAAAAAAGTGCCCCACAATGATTTTCGTTTTGTTTTTGGCGATCTTGCCAGGAAAATTCTCGGGGATGACGTCCACGTCCAAGTTCCGGCACACCAGGTGTCCAGGGGGTGTTCGCCGATGCCATATTTGAATTGAGCGACACAAAAAACTCCCGGGCGCCGAGTTTCTCTCCTTCTCCGCGTGAATTTCGGGAGAGTCCCACGGAGATAAAGTTCATCGGCGTTCGTGAGCTCCAGGTCAGCTGTGGGTCAATTTGAACATCATAATCGTGATCAGCGACCTCGAAAACCTCCGGGAACCTGATTTGGGCCAGTTCTGACTCTTATTTACAAAGTTCTTTAATCTTCCAAAAGTCGTCTCAAAAAATGCATTTTTTTAATGCATTTTTGGCTGCAGCAATGCAATTTTTGGTTTGTATAAGATAAAAAGTAGGGACATTTTTTTTTAAATTTCGAACTTTTTTGCTT